AAATAACTCAAATAGTACATAAAATTAAAATTATCCAAAAATCCCATTTCTTGTTATTTACACAGAGCAGTATAATACCCTGTTCCACCTGATTAGGGACTGGTTTTTAAAAATAATTTGAGAGAAGAAAAAATTAGAAGTAAAACAAATCACTTATAGTTTTACCTTCTGAAATTTGTTTTGGTGTAGTTTTTTCCAGATTTGAATGCATATAAATTACACTTAGATAAAAACAAAGGAATTAATTTTTTGTATTATTACAAGCATTTTCTTTTTTTAAAAAAAGATTTATTTATGCATACAAGAACTGGGGTACAGGCCAGAGGTGTGGAGGGGTGAGCGGATTCACCAGAGACAGAATGGGGAACAGAACAGGCAGACTGACTGAAATACAATGCTGAGGGGAGCATCGGGCGAGTCAGGAGAGGTCTGCTGCGGTCCCTGGCTGGGGATCGAACAGGTGCTGCAGCTGCTGCGGATTGCTTCCTAGGTTGCATCTTAAATCCTTGCGCCACTGGGGAGGCCCCTGCAGGCATTTTCTTACATCATTTGATAATTGCAATCATGGTTTTTAATGTAAAAAATTAGGGGAATGATTTATTAAATTTATTTGCACTATTTTTATGTAATGCTACAGCAAATATTCTGATATATAAACCACTATGTGACTCTTGTTGAAATTTGTAAGTAAATTTCAATGTTAACCCTTCAAGTGGTGTGTTGTTCTGCATAAGGCTGCTCTTTTACCATGCTCCTTTACCGTGAAATAGACAGACTTTAGAAGATTGGGCATGTCCTAGAGAGAAAGAAGAAAGACAGCAGTTGAAAGTATGTTGGAGAGAGAGAGTACTTTATTTTTGTTTCATACAAGATTTCTTGTGGCTTATAAAAAAAACAACCAGAAGCTTTTAAAATGAAATAATCTTTGAAAATGTGTAAAACACAACTAGAATTAAATAAAGTAGAAAATCCAGATTAGAAAAAAGAGCAATCTTGATATATAGCAATCTTGAGATATAAAGAGCAATCTTAAAAATATATATAAGCTATCTGTACATAAGTGTTTGATTTTTTGAAAATTTGAAGTTGAAGGTCTTGGAATGGAACAAGACCAAGGGGATCTAATGCAAAACAGGGAAGTACAATCGTTTCACAGGAAGTTTCCCTAATATTAAGTAAAAATGTTTTTAAAAATTGTTTAAATGGGAAAATCTCTTGCAAATCTTCATATAGGAGTCAATAAATGATATGAATCATCAATTACATAACAACAGATTATGCTTGAAAGTTTTTTAAAAAAATTTTTAACGGTTTCCCTATTTAAAAATTTGTTCCCTCCTTCCTTCCCCTGACTTTTCTTCTTTCTTGGGGACTTTAGAACAAAATCAAATTATTATCCTGGAATTAATTCCTTCTTGAATACATCAAACTCTTTTAGAAGTCTAATATACATTGTGGAATAATAGTGATGGGATTTCTCCTTTATCTTGCTATTTCATGATCAGAGGAAGGATTTCACCATTACCAGTTCTCACCTATAATTTAAAAAAGATTTAAAATTGTAAGAAAATGGAGGAATGATGCAATCATGTAGAAGGGTGATGTAATAGTGAAATGGATCATTGCAAATGAAATAAGTAGTTATTGTTTGTTATTTTTCAGTGTTTAAATTGCATCTCCCAAAGTTCTGGCATGATCTTTCAGCCATAAAAAAATGCCTGCATATACCATTTTTAAGTTTTCTTAAATTTTTAAGTTTGTTTTCTTTGGATACTGTTTGGAATTTAGAAATTTTTGGTTTCAACCCATAGTGACAAACACAAGGAAATTATCAAGATGAGACATTTCATAGTGATAAAATAAACCAGAAGATGAATGTAGATTTACAATACCCTAGGTAAAATTTCTCAAACTTAACATTTGGTGAGCAAACAGTATTTTCCCAAGGACAAAAATGTGATAAAGGCATTCTAATCTAGTCAGTCATTCCACAGGAATAAACTTCACCCAATATTTTGTGGCCAGCATTTGGATCATCACATTTGCTAAAGGTTGTTGACAGTATCTGTTAATCTTTTTTGATATTAATGCAGCAGAAGTTACTCAACACAGTTTGTAATTTTATGAATGCTAAAGTAAAAGGTGGTTGCAGGGAAATTAATGAAGAAATGAATTTAGTGAATTGATTATTTTTACTGGCATGCGTAGATCTAAAGGAATAGGTTATTTTATTTATGGAACTAAGGATATATGATTGTTCTTCAAATTATGAGCTATCACAAATTTCAAAATTAATACATTTTGATGATAACATGAGCAAGAAGTAGCACTATTAGTAGCAAATTAGAAACTAATAGAAGTAGATTTCATAAATACAGTCAATCCTCATTTTCCATAGATTCCATATTTGCAATTTTGCCTCCTTGCTAAAATCTGTTTGTATCCCCTACATCAGCATTCATGGCACTCTGATGATTATTTATGGTTATGTGCATGCAAAGAATGATGAAAAAATGTTAATCTTTGCATATACTTTTTCCCAGTTAGGTCAAACAAGGCAAAAACTGTTTTCAGTTGTCATACTGTAAACAAGTATCCTTTGACAGCCTCTTGAGCTACATGTTTTGCTTTTTTGAGTGAAATGGGATCTTAGAAGTTTTGCTCACAAAGTATTGTTCTTCCTGTTTAGTGACTGAGTAGTTGGTTTTGCTTTTAAAGGGGCCTTCCCAAGGTTGTACTGAAGTGCTACCTAGTATTCTAAATGCAGGAAGACTGTGGTATACCTTATGGAGAAAATGTGTATTAGATGAGTTTTGCTTAATGATATTTATTGAATATGGTGCCTATAAACAGAAACTACACATGAAAAAGGGTCCATTTGTTCAACTGTACCTAGTGAAAAAAACGTAGTGACCAGAGAAGGAACCTAACCCTATATTTGCTAATTTAGTGCTTATTGCAACTTCATATAAACATAATTGCCACCAAATAGCAGTAATTTGACACTTTCACAAGATGAATATGTTGCCATTAGTTGTATTCAAAGATAACATTCAAAGAATGTTATCTATCTTTAGTATATATACATGCAAAGACAAGAAAATGTGGAATAAAAATTTGGGTTGGCTGTGTTTAAATTCTTTTCAGAATTTTATAGTGAAACTTTTCATTTTCTTATCATTCTTACATAAAGTAAGAAGGCAACTTAAAAACAAAAGAAAGTTTACAAGGCAACTTAAAAACAAAAGAAAATAAAGGTTCACTTGACTCAGAAAATAACTGTTTCTTTTTGTATACTGTGAGTCAATAAAAGCTGAAAGCGGGCCTCCCCTGGTGGCCCAAACGAAATGATTGAGTGCAGCGCTGTGAAGCTGTCTACAGCTTCTGCAGCGCCGGTTCGATCCTGGCCAGCCAGCGAAGAGTCCCATGGTGCAGCAGACCTCTCCTGTCTCACCCACTGCTCCCCTCAGCAGTGTATTTCGTCAGTCTGCCTGTTCTGTTCCCCGCTCTGTCTCTGGTGAATCCTCTCACCCTCCCGCACATCTGGCCTGTACCCCAGTTCTTATATGCATGAATAAATAAATCTTTAAAAAGAAAAAAGTTGAAAGCGTGAAAAACCCCACATTTCTGTAGAAGCAGTTCACCTAAATTTCTTAAATATTATGATGTGATAATAGTATTCTGTTGTCCAACTTCATCTGGAACACTTGAAATAGATCTTCCTTTACTTTTCTCTGTTGAGTCATTGACATATTGCTAAAATAACAACTTGAGATGGTGCTTTGATGAAGGTTCCACAGTTTTTTATTTGTAAGCTTAGGGCTTGTTTGTTTTAGAAACCAGAAAAGCAAGTTATAGATTAGATCCATAAACCTTAAGTATTACTAGGCCCACCACCTATTAACAGAATTCAGAAATGGAGGTTGTGACAAAGCCTTTTTAATAGTGAATACATAGTTCAGTGACTACTTTACTTGTAATAAATGGCTGATGATAGGTGCCATCATTGAAAACTGCCCTGTTATTCAGGTATTTTTGTTCGCTTCTCACTCTTCCCTATTCCACTGAACTCAGAAGCATTAATAGTATGCTATGTTTTCTTACTAAGCATAGTGTTTAACACTATAAAGTTTTTAAAGATACATTTATTGAAAATACTGGCTAACATATATTGTGTGCCTGTTTCAATAGTCATCTAGTAAATTTGTGGATGAAATAATCAGCACACAAGTTAAATTATATGTATCCAGATTATGAATTAATGTAAATTAGGATATGGATTCTTATTGGAGTGAGAGAGTTATGTTAAACACTTTGAGCTTCAGAGAAATATTCATAAACTATAATGTACACTCTTCCTTCACAGTATGACAGAATGCTTTGAAATTATTTTAGAATATAACTTGTATATGATGAAAAACATATCCAAGCTTGCATTTTGCATTAGTTTCCTTCTATTCTGTATTCTTGCTGTCCCCTTGATTTTTCCACATTTGTCCCCTTACACTTTGGGTTCCCTTAGTCCACATGCTCCTGCCTTCAAACCCTCAGGTTCCTGTGTAGTCCTGTCCTTGCTTTTCTTTGTTACTACATATGATATTCTCCCCCACATAATCTTAGGTATGCTCATTAAGCTTGCCTAGTGCAGATTTTCTCTTTTTATGCTAACACTTTTTTTTCCTGACTACAGAAAAATTTTAGCATTTTTATTTGAAAAATATTTCTTCCACGAAGCCCTGAGCAGCTAACCTCCAAAAGTAAACAATTCCTGTTTGCATAAGAATTTAGTTAGTTTAAATATAGTAGGTTTGTACATTTTACTGAAATGTTTGAATTGATTAATTTTAGGGAGAGCTTAATGAGCTAGATTATTGAATAATAAGGATACTTTGTTAAATGAAAATCTTACAAAATTTTATTTGTATAGTTGTATGACTCTTGTGTATAATGCCCATCTTATTTCTCTGTTCATTTATTTTATGCATGTTCTTCTCTTATAGCTTGATAAAGATGACATGGTATACATGGAAGCATATGACAAATTGCTGGAGTCCTGGCTAACTTTGGTCCAAGATGACAAACATTTCCATAAAGGCTTTTTTACCCAACATGCAGTTCAAGTTTTCAATTCCTATATTCAGTGCCACCTAGCTGCTCCAGATGGCACAAGGAATTTGGTAAGCTTTATATCAGTCTATAATTAAAAATCATATTTTATCATAGGTTCCATTTCATGTCTTTTGTCCTATTACACATGGTATAATACTAGAAATTTGGGTTGAGATCCTTCAGAAGACTGACTGAAAGCCTTAGACTAAGAACAAAAGTGAGACCTCCTTGTCTAAATGAATTCTTGTTTAGCAGGTTGTTGCTTCTAGTTACCTCCTTTATCTTTAGTTTTCAGTTACTCATCTGTGTCTTCTTAGTTGTCAAATGATATGAATGGTATCTAGAGGACTGTGGATCTTAAAAGATGTCAAATATTTTCAGTGGCAGTTTGAATTCTCTGGTGTGGGAGGTGGTTTGTAGGTATGCAGTTAACTGTGTTTACATATGGGTGCCTTTCTTTTCGCTTCATGTTTCCTTGATTCTTTTTTGTAAATCTTAGGGCTCTCAGCATAGTTAGATAGGAGTTCCTAAACAGTGTTGCTTGAGGTTGGCTCTCTCCAGCTCTCAGAGGAGTGTCGAAGTTATACTAAAAATGCCTGATTTATTGAATAAAGGAGTACAATTTCTCATTCTTTGTTTCTTTCATTCATAATAGACTGCCAATGGTGTGGCCTCTCGTGAGGAAGAAGAAATAAGTGAACTTCAAGAGGATGATCGAGACCAGTTTTCAGATCAACTAGCCAGTGTAGGAATGCTAGGAAGAATTGCTGCAGAACACTGTATACCTCTTCTGACAAGGTACACACAGTCCAAAGAAACCCCATGGAGCAAATATTCACTATTCACAATTCCCTGGAGAGCACTTAAAGTGTTTAAAGACTTTAAACACCCCCACCCCGTATCCCAGCACACTGGAACAAATGGACAGAAACATACTCATGATTGCATTCCTTGGCTTGTACATTTGGAGCCCAGGCACTACAACATAGATGGCAGAAAGATTATGGAAAACATGGTATGAGAAATGATTTGACCCATATCAATAAAACCTTGGAATAACCAGTTTTCAAATGCCTGTTGTAAACTTTGATTGTTTGTAAAGCAATGTTTTAATTCTATGTCATAAGTCACAGTTGCTATAGTGCTATGAGAACAGTTGTGTATTATAATAAATACTTTTGTATATATGTTTTTGTGCTAACATTTTAGTTTATGTGGTCTAGTAAATAGAAATTTAAGTTGTTCGCTGTCTTTGCTTAATGAACTTTATGGAGCTATTATTTTGTTTTCCTATTTTAGTTTATTAGAAGAAAGAGTAACAAGGCTCCATGGTCAATTACAACGACATCAGCAGCAATTACTTGCCTCACCTGGGTCAAGGACTATTGACAACAAAATGCTTGATGATTTGTATGAAGATATTCACTGGCTTATTTTAGTTACAGGTTGGTTGGTTATCTCTTTTCGAAATATAATTTCCAACAGAGTGGTTTAAACTTTAAAAGACTCCTCATATATTAAAAGCAACAATCCATACCCAGTATTGGATGGAATTTGGATATAGCTGCTAAGTGTTACAGATCTTAAAAGATACATTTATTAAAAATACTGGCTAACATGTATTGAGTGCCTACTTCACACCATATGCTTTATTTGGAACATAAAGCCCATTGAATTAGTACTATTACTAGTTATTGTTGTTAGTATTGTTGTTACCCCTGTCTTATAAATGAAGAAGCTGAGACTTGGAGAGTTATAAGAACTAGGCCATGGTCATACTGCTATTAATTTTTGAGACAGAATGCACATATAGGCAGTTTGACTGTTAGGGTCTTCTGTAACCATTCTACTAATGTTTCTGTTTCTCATATGCAGGGGAGAAAAATCTTAATTTTTGAAAAGACATTCCCAAATACTGACTTTTGATATACTTAATAGAACTCCTATTACCTTTATAAAATGTTACTGAGAATTACTAAAAGGTACTAGATTAAATAGCATACATATCATTATGAATTATAAAATTGATGAATAAAACATTTGTCCTTTTCTGTATTTTTGAGAGTAAATTATCTGAGAAATACAAAGTTTCTTCTCATCAAACTTGAAATTAACATTAACATTTATAATTTACTTTTACATCAGTTTATATGATATATAGAAATCAAATAAAACTGAGAACATTTATAGTGCAATTTGGTGAATATAGATTTGTTAAGTGTTCATTTTTAATTTTTTTTAAACTGAAGGCTACCTCTTAGCTGATGATACTCAGGGAGAGACTCCGCTAATACCTCCAGAAATAATGGAATATTCCATTAAGCATTCATCTGAAGTTGACATTAATACAACACTTCAAATTTTGGGATCTCCAGGAGAAAAGGCTTCTTCCATCCCAGGGTACAACAGAACAGATTCTGTGATTAGGTAATATGAACTCTATAGCTGTGCTCTTGTAATTTATACTGTTTTATAAATTCTGAGTTGATGGGTAGATAACTTGAGGGATAGGCATGTTGTAAATTTGATACTTGAAAGAAAATAAAACTTGGAGAAGCCTTGAAATAAACAAGGATGGCAAGTACTCACTATGTTTAAGTGTGCCAGTTTGGTAGTAATTGACAGCTCTATCAAGGACTGAGGAAAGCAAATGTAAAGTTATTCTGAATACAATTAGATTTTGAAGGAGATTTGATCTCATGTACTATAAATATATCCCTTGTCCATAAGAAAATAATACTGATAATGATATAAGATTTTTAGAAACCAGGGGAATATTAGTTCATAAGCTAAAACTACATTTCAGTGGCTTTCTTTGGGGAAACTGTCATTCTTCTTTCATAAAATAGAAATGTTTATTCTGAGTACATGAAGTTTGAGAGACCTGTCAGATGATGATAGAATAAAGTAGTATGCCTTAAATGAGGAAATTCACTTTTGTTTTCCTAATACTAATGGTGGAATTTTTTTGTGAATTCTCAATGGTGAAATTAAGGAGGAGTAAATCTGGACTAAATATTGTTGTAAAAGTAGATTTAAAAACAGTATTTTAAATTTCACTATCTTTAACCTTGAATTTAGGTTGCAGACACAGAAATCAGTAATGAATTTTGTTTTTGGTCAGTTGCAAACCAGGTGCTATTTCTCTTTATTTTATTTTATTTATGTATTTTTAAAGATTTATATATTTATACAAGCAATGGGGTACAGTCCAGAGGTGCAGGAGGGTGACAGAATTGACCCAAGACAAAGCAGGGAGCAGAACAGGCAGAAGGACCGAAATACACTGCTGAGGGGAGCAGCGGGCAAGAAAGGAGAGGTCTACTGCACCATGTGGGAATCCCCCTGGCCGGCCAGGAATCGAATCAAATCGGCACTGCAGAGGCTTTGGACAGCTTCACAGCACTGTGCTCAACCTGCTGCGCCACCAGGGAGGCCCATTCTCTTTATTTTCAAAAGTAATGGATATCATTTAACCTGTGCAGTAGAAAATACATTTTTTAAAAAATTGAAATATTAATATCAAGGAAATGTTTGGGAATTCATTTCCTTTGTTGTTGCATTCTTTTGTTTGAAATAAAATACCAATGCTCTGTTGAAAAAATTTGATCTATTCCTTTTGGGATTGTTATAGGCATTAGAAATCAATGCTTTTGCTTTGGTTTGATTCATGGTGAATGTTAATTTCAAAGCCATTGCATTTCAGAGTGCTGTCATGTTATATTCTTTGTCCTGTTCCTTGCCTGGGCAGTACCATCAGGAATGCTTTCCTTGTATATTCAGTGCTTTTTCAATTTTTGCCAGTGTCAGGTATCAGTGCAGAAGCAAAATACTTTGGTTCTGAGAGAGCACAGACTATGGAGGGTTGAGATGAGGATTGGGACCAAACAAAACAACATTACCATTTCGTTGTAGTACAAAGAATTAATGTGAAGTAGACTTGTATATGGGAGAAAACTTCCTTGCTTCACTGAAAAAGTAGTTCACATTTCTTGAAGAAGTTATCATTCAACAAGTAACTATTGATTATCTACTATATGCCAGGTACCATTCCAAACATTTGGGATACACAGTGTACAAATTAAACAAAAATTGCTCCCCTTTTTATAGCTCATTGTAGAGGAGAAATAATAAGTAAATTATATGGTGTGTTAGAAAACCTTGAGTGCTATGGTTAGGAAGTTAGAAGGGAATGCAGAATTTAGGGATTGTTTGTAATTTTTATTAGTGTGATCAGATTAGGCTTTATTTAGAAAGTGACTTAGGAGCAAAGACAAGATATTGGTAAGGGAGACTCAGCAGGCCTGGGGCAAGAGCATTCCAGAGTAAAGTTTTATTCAAAAGCCCTGTGGCATACCTGGCATGTTCAGAGAGAACAAGAGGAACTGCCATTGGGTTGAAGAAAGTGAGATGGAAAGGAGATGGAGGTAAAGGGGAAAAAAGAGAAGTCAAATAAAGTCATTAGACCTTTGTAATATCTTTGGCTTTTGGTCTAAATGAAATATGGTGCTTTTAGAGGATTTTGAGCAAAAGAGTAAACTGTTAAAGAGGTTACTCTGCTACACTGAGGATAAACTATTAGGGGCAAAGATAGGAGCAGGGAGAGACCAGTTAAGAGGCTAATTGCACTTATCCAAGAGAAATTTGTAGTGATCTAGACCAGAGTGATTTCATGGCAGTTGAGTGGTATCCAAAAAAGCTCTATTTGACTTGTACTGACTTTTGGTTTATAAAATGCAAAGCTAATCCAAGATTAATTTGGAAAGTGGAAAACTGAGTGCTATCTGAAATAATAATGTTTAGAAAGCTTGCTTAGAAGCTACAGTAGTTTGGATTATTAATCTTCGTGTATCAGCTATTAAAAACAAATTTTTGATGGTTTTTTTGTTGTTGGTTGTTTGTTTGTTTGTTTTATTGTTTTTTCAACTCCTTTGTGTGCCAGTATCTGTGGAATATAATAGAAGTGTGAAAGAGTGATGTATGAGCACATAGGTTCCCCATACCTGTTGGCAAGGGAAGAGCTTCTTGGAAGAGATGGCATTTAAACTGATAATTGAGAAATGAACAGGAGTTTGCAAGGAAACAGAAAGAGGAAAGAATACTCCAGGCAGTGATAGTAGCCTAGATAAGGGCCCAGCACTGAGAACTTGGCTGAAAGCAAGAGAAAAGGTTATGTGGCTTTTGTGTCCAAGTAAAGGGGAGAGGAGAGGTGTTTGATGAAAATGGAGAAGTAGGGGTGGGCACTGTTGGGTGGGCTAGTGAGGTAGGTGTACAAATGGTGAAAAGAATTTGGAGTAGGGAGGTTAACTGATCAAATTGTTTTAGAAGAGTTATACAGTGGAAGAGGAATCAAAGGCAAGTTAGAAAACAATTTAGAAAGTACTGGTAGTGCAGTGAAAATGTAACAGGCAGAAGGATGTGAGAGATAACTCCATGGCAGTGCAGATGGATTGAATGGTGAAGAAAGAGGAAAGAATGAAGAAAAGCTCCCTGGAGAGCCTTCTGTGTATCTGCCTAAGAGCTGCCTGTGGTATTCTCTTTCTTTACTTTGCTCCCTCTTTGCAAAAGAAAGGTGAAAACTCATTCTGACTCTCATTGTGATGGATTGGCAGGTGTGTTAAAACCTGCAAGCTGCCAAATGAAGAGGCAGTTCCAAGTAGTGTGGTTTTAAAAGTGAATGACTGAGTAATTATACTTTCCAGGAGGTTTTCAGTTCTTTACAGTAAATGAAATTAAAGAGTAGCTTAATCAAGTTGTCAGTTAACAGATTATTAAAAACAATTTTGATGGTAGATCTCTGGTTTTTGGCATATAAATTGGACGAATAATTGAGGGACCCTGCTATTTTGTGTGTTCAGTGCTTATATCTAATAAAATAAAAAAACAGGAATCAAATTATGTTTAGCTGTATCTCATCCTATCAAAATATGTATTCACAAGTACAAAGACTAATTTGGGAAAACAAAGCCTGCTACATTAATCTCATTCAGAGATGCATAAAAGTATACTATTATGTTTCATGTAAATATTTTAATTATTTAAATTAGTTTTATTTATTTTGCCCATCTATATAACTAATAAGTATTGAGACAGTAATAATTCAATCTGGAAGGCATTTTTAAACACTTGTTCTTATGATCATTGGAAATTTTTTTATTGCATCTCAGTATCTGGACGTTTGCTTCAGAAAAGTATGTGATGTGATCAATAAAGTACTTGAGCATAAAAAAATTTATATTAGGGTACTCTGTTGGGAAATGAAGTTGAAATAAAGTTCAAGGAGTAAAAGAAACAATGTAAAGTATCTGTTAAAGAAAAAGTTGTTTATTTTTCAAATGGATGATGGTGGGTATTCCGATACTATGAAAATTAAATTCTAGTGCATAAATTCGAAGGGTTGCCCTAACTTGCATTCAGATTCTTTTTGGCTGCAAATTATGTCATTTATGAAACTATTCTTGCGGGGGAAATGTTAATACATTAACTTAAATGTATCACATGATTGTTGGGATAATTTTGTTCATATGCTCTCTAAAACAGTTTTTATTATAAGTTTGAGCATTGCTGGTATAAGGAGTGTATATAGTGGGGCGGCGGGGGGGTGGGAACCACCTGATTTAAAGAAGTTGGACAGAAGAGGAGGAAACCATAAACTGGGGAAGATTAAGCACATACATTCGGGAAAGTATTGTACAGGGAAAAAATTATTTCACAAGGCAAGTAGGTGGTCATCAATGTTTAGTACTTCTGAGACCTTCAGTTGGATAAACAACAAAAACATATCCATAATATCTTATTATTAGGATGTGATTTTATCTTGAGAGCAATAAGGAAATTAGCAGAAGCCAGATTCCAGGTAATTAGAATCCTTTACATTGATAATCATAAAATGGGATTGTAATGGGTTCTTTCAGTTACATCGAGTATGTATCACTTCTGATTATATACCTCGATTATATACCTCTCGACTTCAACCTCCAGAACAAAGACTTTATTCTTATCTGCATAGCTTGCTGTGTTTCTAACACTACACACTTATATGAATTATATAATTAAGGACAATATCTACCCATATGTAGGTAATTTTTCTGGCAAATTTTTATTTTAAAACACCATTAAGTTTGTTAAGAATTAAACAGTACTATCAGATTTAGGGACGACACTCAGTATTTAAAACATGCTACATAAATCAGTTCCTGCATCCTGCACTATAATGTCAGCACTCTATAAAAACATGCTCAAGAGTTTTAAGTAGATAAGGGGTGCTGAAGAGTTTAGCATGTATTCTGAACTTTTAATTTTATCTATTTCTCCACTTTGAATATGAAAAAACTCTTTGCAGACAGTGATGCTGAGATTTGCACGTGCAGTATCAATGTCGGTAGGAGGCTGTTTCTAGCCATGACTTTGCTCCCTTCCTTCATTCTGTCTCCTGCTTCCTGAATAGTCAGAAATAAAATGGGTGTATTTACCAACATGGAAATTTCGAGTATAACCTGGCCCACATCCAAAGAGTTGAGAAATAAAAAAGGACATTTAAAACTGTATTATTAGACAACCAACAAATAAAAGAATAAATTACTTATTTTTTATACCTACAGGTTGTTATCAGCAGTTCTAAGAGTTTCGGAAGTTGAATCTCGAGCAATAAGAGCAGATCTCACTCATCTGCTAAGCCCTCAAATGGGCAAAGATATTGTTTGGTTTCTAAAACGCTGGGCAAAGACTTACCTCCTGGTGGATGAGAAACTATATGATCAGGTCAGAATGTAAAACTGTTTAGCTTCATTTGCATTTATAATGCTAACAGTAATACAAATGACAACTTTTTTTGGAAATTTTCTCATCAAAAGTTGAATATCTTCCATATTAAAAAAACAATGTAAATGGGATATTGTTTTAATAAATTTTCTTAGAGCAGATCATTTGGCTCATTTTAACCAACATTAAGTTATAGATTATTATGTGGGAATGGAGTATTTTATGTTCTTTGTATTTCTATGTACTAACATGTAAATATCATGTTAGTAATATTAATAGCTAATGAAATTAATAAATAAAACATGTTAGTGTTAATATGAAAATAATTAAATCTGATAGGAAAATCACATTGGGATGTGTTAACTGGATAGGGATGTCTTTTTTGGACTTACAGAAATGAATCCATTTATAAAATTAATGTGATATAAGCTGGATTTAGATGCTTATTTTTAGGTTGATTTTTCTATGTATGGATTTTTTTCCCAGATAATATTTATGACTTTAATTTTTGTTTTTTCTCTCAAGATAAGTCTGCCATTCAGTACAGCGTTTGGGGCAGATACAGAGGGTTCTCAGTGGATTATTGGCTACCTCTTACAAAAAGTCATCAGTAACCTCTCAGTGTGGAGTAGTGAGCAGGACCTTGCAAATGACACTGTGCAGCTCCTTGTCACTTTAGTAGAAAGAAGAGAAAGGTAAGCTGATTGTTAGAAGACTGACTGTGTGTATGTGTGAGAAAGAGAAAAGATGATCAGAGAGAAACTTTGATTTGCTTTTTAAGTGTCAGACAGTTACATGGTCCTAAGATCCAGATAGCCATACATTTTTAGAGTGGTATTTTTTAAAAAAACGTTCATATTATTTTTATAAATACAAATAGAGTTTTCCCATATTACAGTTGAGGATTGTATGGACTATTCAAGATTTGGCAATAAAGAATTTTATCAGTAACATGTCTAATTCAGTGATTTATTACTAAACAATTTAATATGGAATAGTTTCAATGTGATGTTTTCAAGTATTCCATTGCATATCCCATTTTAAAGATGAGGAAAAATTTTCAGTGCTTTCTGCACCAAATGTAGGAAATATTTTTATTTTTCTTACTACATAGCAATATGGTTGTTATTATTACTGTTGTCATTGACTATTGTTTATTGACATCTTATAGTTTACTGTTCTGAACACTTCATTTATAGCATCTCATTTAATCATCACATCAGTCTGATCCATGAGCTTGAGGACTTTTATTACTATTGCTATCCTTATATTACCAAGCAGAAAACTGATAATTGAGAGAGATAAGGTAAACTTTATATTGTCATATGACTAGTAGATCTAGTAGATTTGAATGCAAGCTATATGACATCATAGTCAATAACAAGTTAACTCTACTATACTTTACAAATTAATTAAAATCCAATTACCTTCCCTTTTGTTTTACTTAGCATGCATGTAAGTAATACATCTTATATTTTGTTATTTTTGTCTGTAGGGCAAACTTAGTAATTCAGTGTGAAAACTGGTGGAACTTAGCTAAGCAGTTTGCAAGCCGAAGCCCACCTCTGAATTTCTTATCAAGTCCCGTGCAGAGGACCCTGATGAAGGCTCTTGTCTTGGGAGGTTTTGCACATATGGACACAGAAACCAAACAACAGTACTGGACAGAGGTAATGGTCTTTTTTTTTTTTTTTTTTGTGATTCCTTGTATAATCCTGTGGTTGCTATATCTATGTGTTACCCTCTAACATCTGTGGAAACAAACATTTCAGTCATGACTTTTCTGATATTTTCCCCTCCTAATGAATAGGTTGAGACTTACTATTGTATAAAAGTAATCTTAAAATTTGTCCATATCTGCTTATGTGATGACTCTGAATGTTATCAAGTGTTCTGCAATTTAAGCACATTTTTCCTTAGCTCAATGAGAGCCTGAACTTGGATATTAATTCTTAATTTAGAATCAGTGAAACATTTCTTCTTAAACATGAGTTGCAATTTAACCATAGTATTAGTTTGCTAGGTCTGCTGTAACAAAATACTACCTCTCAGTAGCTTAAACAAGAAAAATTTGTCTTATACAGTTCTGAGGCTAGTGGTCCAAGATTGAGGTGGTGTTGGTAGATCAAGGTGGTTCCTTTTGAGACCCATGCGGGAAAATCTGTTCCAGGCCTCTCCCCAGGCTTCTTATGGTTTATTAGCAATCACTGCTGTTCTTTGGCCCATAGAAACAACACCCTGATCTCTGCCTTCCATCTTCTTATGTCTTGGTCCACATTTTCCCTTTAGATAAGGACTCCAGTTATAGTGGGTTAGGACACCACCCTAATGACCTCATCTTAATGTAACTTACTTCATTTGAAGCAACCCAACTTCCAAATAAGGCCATGTTCTGAGTTGTTACAGGCAGTGAGCATAATTCAAGTCATAGTGACCACCATAGACATAGTGTCATATATAATTGAACTTTAAGTTGAGAACTGAGAGTTACCAGTGTATAGAGGTCACCAGTTCATAGCCCTTGAAACTAGTGTACTTTTAATTTATGAGAAGGGGGCACAGGCACAGTAACAAAATTATTAGGCAATTGTCTGTGACTTCAAAACCAAAGGAAAAATAGGCTGACTATATGTTTCTAGTGTAAATAATTAAATTAGCATATGCATGGGCTTGAGTAGAATTAAAATCTTTTCTCCACAAATATGCATATTCACCTTTATATCCGAGGTAGATCACTTCTCGGCCTTTTGGCTAACTAAGATCAAGTGTATATCCGAGGTAGGACTGATTATCTGAAGTTATGTTTTATGCCAAGGGAAGTTAGTAAGGAGCATACAGGCCAGAGCTTTTGTTGTTGCCCCCTCCCTGTCCAAAGGTTAGCAAACTGGTTGCCCCCTCCCTGTCCAAAGGTTAGCAAACTGCAGCCCACAGACCAAAATGGCATGCTGTCTGTTTTTACAAATAGTTTTATTGAAATACGAACATGCTTAGTTGTTGCCATAGTGTCTGTGACTGCTTCTGTGCTGCAGTGTAATCTCAATTGAGTAGTTGTAAAGTTTGGCCCTCTAGAGAAAAAAGTTTGACGGTTACTTCTATGGAAGTTTTATTTTTTTTTTTTTTAATCAGTTTGAGAGAAGATGGTAGCAATCACTGAGGGAGAGATGCAGATAGTAGCAGAATTCTATGACTGGCATTGAGGAGGTTGTGTTTTATGATATGTTTGTTCTTACTATGAGTGTGCCAACAGTTACGATGACCATCCTCAAAATAGGGAATGGGTATGTGGTTCAGATATGTTTTTTTCCTGTGCTTTTTCTGCCTCCCAACAAGTGGAAATGTTTCAGAAAGTGAATATTTATTCATGCTTAATTTTTGTAGGTTCTTCAGCCACTTCAACAGCGATTCTTAAGAGTGATAAATCAAGAAAACTTTCAGCAGCTGTGTCAGCAAGAGGAAGTCAAGCAAGAAATCACTGCTACGTTGGAGGCCCTGTGTGGCATAGCTGAGGCAACCCAGATTGACAATGTAGCAATCCTTTTTAATTTTTTAATGGACTTCCTTACTAATTGCATTGGATTGATGGAAGTTTACAAAAATACCCCAGAGACTGTCAATCTCATAATAGAAGTTTTTGTTGAAGTTGCACATAAACAGATATGCTATCTTGGAGAGGTAAGCACTACCTAATTTTATACCCTCAACATTAAAACTCTTTGAAACCTGAACAAAGTAATAGATTTGACATTTCAAATTTAATGATTATTATCTGGGATAATGTTTTCAAAAATAGATTTTTCAAAAATAATGGTTTTCAGAAGAACTCAATTCAAAGGAAGACATGAAGGAATAAATTCTTGCCCTAAAATTATGTCAACATGAGTAATTTTGCACTAATATGTTATTCATTCAGTTTCATTCAAATGGGGAGTATTTGATAAAACAAATGCATTATGGTATTAACCAGTTTTACCACTGAGGGTTCTCTGTAGTAGAATCCTAAGACTAAAAAGAAGTACCATTGTTTACATCCTTGTTAATATTTTGACTGTGTAGGATTTCTCCCCTCAGATGTGGTCATTGTTCTACCACCAAAGCACCCATAGGCCTCCAACGTAGTCCACTGTTTGCTTTTTCCCTGCCTGCTTCCACCCTTAAAATCTTAAGTGGCAGTTTGTATCTTTGTTTCGTGAACAAGGTGTATGTTCACACATGCTAAATTCTTTAATATGAAGTAGGCAAAGAGGTATTTTTTGTCCATTAAATTAGTTGTTATAAAAAGCTTTAGAGGAGTATTTGTACTCCTTTGTTAGATTAACACTTATCTTTTTCCAAATCATTTAATATGGGTTCCTGATTTGTAATTTTTTTGTTAGATCAAAGGAACTAGCTCAAAAGAAAGCTTGTATCTTATAGGTATTATAAATATAGTCACAGATGCACTATTGAGGGCAGACCAATACCATTTAGTAATATTTAAGACCAGTGTTTGCAACTCTGTACTGTTGAACAATTTTAAATTTACAATCAATTTTAAATCTTATAATAAGCGTCATACTGGAAGTTGAATAGAACCAGTGTTACCTCAATTTAAAGACTAACAATGAAAAAAATTCTTTTTAAGTTGAAAGCAAAAGAAAAGTAGTTCTACTGCCAATATCTTACTGTCTCTCTAATATATATCAAATGAGTAAAATATTTGGATGTTAAATTGTTATTAGAAAACTGCTAATGTTTTAAACATAACTGTAAACTTCAATATATGCCTTTTAATTACTGTTAATGTTTTAATAGTTTAAAATGAGTATAAAAGGTTCTATTTGACTTCACAGTAAATTTATTCCATCATATTTTCCAATTTCTGTAATATTTATATTTGTTTCCCAACTCACTTCTATGCATTAGCATAATTTGTATCTGCTTTCTTATAGTCCAAAGCTATGAACTTATATGAAGCTTGCCTTACTTTGTTGCAAGTATATTCTAAGAATAATTTAGGGCGGCAAAGAATAGACGTTACAGCAGAGGAAGAGCAATACCAAGACTTGCTTCTCATCATGGAACTTCTTACTAACCTTCTATCAAAAGAGTTCATAGATTTCAGTGATACGGGTAAGATAAAGTGTGTTTGTTTGAAAATTTTTTTATTTTAATTAAAGCAAAGGAATGTTTTCTTGGAGTGAAATCCCATGCAAAATTTCAGATTACAAAACAAGTGAAAATGGATCTTTTTGGTTGAAGTGAGAGTAGAATTGAGGGCCTTCCTGCTTGATATTCAGTCTCTTACCATCGTAGTGATAGCTTTCATTAATTAAGTTCTAACTAAATACCAAGCATTGTTCATATCTCAGTGATATGAAGTAGGTACCATTGATGTGCTCATTTTATAGTAAAGGAGACACAAAACTAGTAAGATAGATAGCCAGTAAATTGCAGGGCTGGGATTCATATACCAGCTTCTGACTTCAGAGCCAGTTTCTTTAGAGTTATACTTTATTGATGAATTACTCCTCACATAATTATTACTACAGCACTTAACTCTTAATCTGACCAGTTTTTTAGTAGTGCTGATTTTACTTCTGAAAATACTAGTTTAGCATTAGTTTTATTTTCATCATTGTTGAATAATAATGTAAACACAGAGTATCTGCATAAATTACTGAGACTCTAAAAAAGTGAAGTACTGAAGGATAACACTGAGCAAGACTTAACCAGATAACTTTACTATCTACTCACAAATTTATTTTGACTTGGGAATTTAACTGTATTTTCACTCTACTGAAGTTACAATTCTAAGACTACATTCTTTTTATTTTAATAGATGAAGTATTTAGAGGCCATGAGCCGGGGCATGCGCCTAACAGATCTGTGTCAGCAGCTGATGTTGTTTTATATGGCGTAAATCTAATTCTGCCCTTGATGTCACAGGATCTTTTGAAGGTAATTGAAGAAGGTGAATGTGAATATTAAAATTGTATGTGCTTCATGACTAAAGATATTTTGGACAAGAGCCTAGATCTCATTTAATCAAAGAAAAGTGTAAATGTCTATCTGTCAAGTGCATTGCAAATAAAATATTTGCATTTCTGTTACTGTTAATATTTATTCACAATAGTTACCATGCATGCATCTCAATAAACAGGCCCTCTGTTGCTGTCTCGGAGACCTACCTTCACTGATAGATTAGTGACAGAAAAAAAAACATTCTTTTAGAAACTTAGTTCTGTTGTTAGCAGGTTTTCTTTTTTTAAAGATTTATTTATGTATACAAAAACTGGGGTATAGGCCAGAGATGCGGGGGGTGAGAGGAATCACCGGAGACAGAGTGGGGAACAGAATAGGTGGATCCACTAAAATACACTGCTGAGAGGAACAGTGGGGAGACAGGAGAGGTCTGCTGCGCCATGTGGGTAGCACCCTGGCCAGCTGGGGATCAAACTCGTGCTGCAGAGGCTGCGGATAGCTTCACAGTGCTGTGCTTAACCCCTTGTGCTACCAGGGAGGCCCAGAGTCCTTCATCATTTGTTGTTAAGCAAATAAGATTACATTTTTCAGCTGTATTCCTCTGATACCCTTTGAACATCATTCTGAGGCTGAGAGACTGAATATGAAAAGGCGTTTTCTAAGCCACTCCATATAGAAATGGAATGGTAAAAAATAAGATTAATAAAAGTATTTAAAATTTTGCACATTCTGACAATGTTGTTCTTTCACCTCACCAGTCAATACAAAGAGTGTGGTGTGATGCTGTGGCTCCCCAAGTATGCCATAGGGGAGAGGAAGGAGTCTTTTCCTGAGTTGTCATAGGCAAATAAGGGTAGGAACAAAGACATGACTGATGAACGTAAAAGGGGTGTGTGTGGGTGTGTGCATGCACACGTGTGCGTATACTCTTATACATCTGTACACGCATGCGCTAGATAAAATGGGAGAGGAGAAAAGAGATGGTAGGAAGGAAGAATGTGGAGACTGAGGACTGGAGTATAAGAATAAGGGTGTTATTTTATTCCCAACATAGCAGAATGTAATCATATGCTTCTCTTGACGAGTGTCTGTTGGAAAGGGTTCTGTGATGAACCACGAGCCACGTACCCATGCAGCAGCTAGGAAGATGTATATTGATATTTGTTTATTGATTTGCTTTGTGGGGTTTGTTGTTTTGGGTTTTGTTTTTTTTTCCCCCATCAAATCATTGAACATTTAGGAATTTGGTTAGGTTTTTTTTTTTTAAAGTATTTAAATATGTATTTTCTTAAATAACGTGAAGCTGTAGATTACATATTTTCACCTCAGTTCTCTCGGACTGTCCAACTAGGAAGTAGTTTTTAGAAATAGGAAATTCTGAATATTCTGCTTATAATGCATAATCTTAACAATTTATGTTATCTTTTCCAACATGCTTGATTGCAAATAAATATTTGCGAGAGTTTTATTCCTAGGTCACTTAATAAGATGAAATCTGGCTACTTTGTTTACTTTTTTTCCCTTACAGAGTGTATGGAATTACTGTAATTTTTTTTTAAAGATTTATTGATTTATGTATACAAAACTGGGGTCCAGGCTAGAGGTGTGGGGGTGAGAGGCTTCACCAGAGACAGAGTGGGGAACAGAACAGGCAGACCAACTGAAATACACTGCTGAGAGGAGCAGCGGGCAAGTCAGGAGAGGTCTGCTACAGCATGTGGACAGCTCCCTGGCCAGGGATTGAACCCGTGCTGCAGTGGCTGCAGACAGCCTCATAGGTTGCATTTTTTTTTTTTTTTAAAGATTTATACAAGAACCGGGGTACAGGGCAGATGTGCAGAAGGGTGAGAGGATTCACCAAGACAGAGTGGGGGAGCAGAACAGGCAGATTGACTGAAATACACTGCTGAGGGGAGCAGCGGGTGAGACAGGACAGGTCTGCCACGCCATGTGGGTATCTTGCTGGCTGGCCGGGATGGAACCTGCGCTGCAGAGGCTGCAGACAGCTTCACAGTACTGTGCTCAACTGCCTGCGCCACCAGGGGAGGCCCTGTAATTGCTGTAATTTTTAACTGTCCACAGAATAATTGTTTTTACTATATGTTTCTTTTCTATTAGTTACTAAATGTTACTAAAATGTTTCCTTTATTGTAACTTTTTTTACACTTAATTAGGCCTTTGTTTTCTCCCTTTTATGTGTTTTCACGAAATCTTTGTACTTAGATGCTTTTGTTGTCTGTTGGTTTTTTATTGCATTAATGAAGATAAAAATTAGATAGCATTAAATATTTAATATTTCTTTTTCAGTTTCCAACTCTTTGTAATCAATACTACAAATTAATCACGTTTATCTGTGAGATTTTTCCTGAAAAAATACCACAGCTTCCTGAAGATCTTTTTAAAAGTTTGATGTACTCACTAGAACTAGGAATGACGTCATATCCTTTAAATGAACATCTTTATTGTTACTTGAGGGAAAAGATCTTATCTGAGAAAACCCTTAATTTGTATTTTTCTTTTTTTTTGTGGTTCAGTTTTATTTCTTAAAAAAGCTGTCCTCTCTGTTTGCCCTAATTCTGTTTGTTTTGTTAGTTTGCCTCATCCCGTCCACTTTTCACAGATCCCAAAGGCATTTGTGCCCAGTTCCCAAGGTCAGTCTTTCACTATATGCCACAGTTAGTATGTTTTTATATGTATGTTGCTAAGTGTCTGATTATCAGCTACCTGAAAATAGAGAATAATGAGGCTTTTTATTAGTTGTGTGCATCATAATCAGCAACAACCTAGATATGTCCAGTCTAACAATCCACATACCAATACTTATGGATCATATCTAAAATATTACAAATCTTTTCTCACCTAACTCAGACACATTGGACACTGACGTATTCTCTTATCTGTATTTCTAGAAATAGTCATCCATTTGATAATAGTTAGGACTTTTTGGTCTTTTTAAGTCAATTATATCTACTCTAGTTTGTTCTTTGACCTTCATGATCAGAATGAGTTCGGAGGTTTGCCAGCTTTGCCTGGAAGCTTTGACACCATTAGCTGAACAGTGTGCAAAAGCACAAGAAACAGATTCACCACTTTTTCTAGCAACACGGCACTTTCTAAAGGTAAGATGTTTGGGTAAGATGTCATGCATGTATATTTGAGCACATCATTCTTTATTCAAATGAGGAAATGCTTATGTTCTTTCATAGAAGAGGCAGTAATGACTTTTCATTTACTTAGTTTTCTGGAGATCAATTTCCTGGACACAATATTCTCCACTTTTATTTTATATTCTTGAAAATTGATGTGGTAAATATAACCAAGAATTTGATTATTTGTTATACCACAGCAAGCAATAATATCTTTACATTATCCTTGGATTTTATAAAACCTGTTTTCTTTAAAAGAGTTGTTCAGATTTATTTAATAAATAAGAATAACCATCACCCCCTCTCTTTTTTTTTTTTTTTTTTTTAATGGGTAGGGGCTGGAGCATTATATGATCATTAGATATTTTTGTTGAGAGGTCTTATCATGTACTTTCAGCTGGTTTTTGATATGCTGGTTTTGCAAAAGCACAACACAGAGATGACCACTGCAGCTGGGGAAGCTTTCTACACGTTGGTGTGTCTGCATCAGGTACCAAGTACACATCTTTTCATGGGACACTTTTCATTTCTTTTAACAAGGAAATTGTTCAGGCAGATTAGTACTTCCATTTCTTGGAGGTTCTGTGATTCAGTGCTTCAGTTTTATTTCGATGAGGTTATTATTTCTTCCATCCTCATTAGCTTTATTTTTTTTTTTAACTTATCTAACAAATTTCTTTGTTAGCAAGCATTTGTTTCCTTTCTCCACCATTGCAAATCATCCTTTACATTGATCACTGCCTTAAAGCTTATGTTTAAACGACTATGCTAGAAACCAAGATACAGGCATTAAAGCATTAATAGAGACATGGTTTTTGGCCTTGAGGAACTCACAGTTTTGAAAGGGAGACGAAAGGAGTGTGCCTACAGAAAACATGGGGGGCAGGGAAGGAGTATTATTTCATATTACAGTAAGGAAATTACATGTTCATACATTACATACATTTCAGACATTATATACATTATGGAAAATACAGCTCATTATTCTGTTGTTTTGCTGACCCTACAGATGCTGAAGCGCTCATTGACTTGGGGTTAATTTAACAGAAGAAAAGTTATGCTAGCTTCCCTGTCTCCCACCACTATTCAAATCGAAAAGGTGTACTCATTAAGTGTATGAGACAAACCACATTGGATCACCATGACCTGGTGGTTCACTGGAGATGCTTTGGCATTGTTTTAAAAATAGAAGCCATAGTATTTGCTGTGATTTTCCTTTCATTTTTAAAAATACTTGGGATTTGAGGTTTTCCATACTACTTAAGGACTATCTCCCTACATTTTATTTATTGCTCTCTGCTATAAATACCACTTTCTGCCAGCTGATATCCATCTCATTCTGGTCTTTCTTTGTCATTTGGCTTCTTGTTGCTTACTAGAGTAGGCTTTTTGTCCCAACATGTATAAGTTGTCATTACATTCTGATGTCCTTTTTAAAAAATACATATTTACACATTATAGAAAAGAGAGCAGGAATTTGAGAATGGTTAGTAGGATATCTTGCTGGTTTAGCCCCAGAGGCACGATCATTTCTTGTGAATAGGGAAATGATTTGAGTTTATACTTCTTCCTCTGTGAGCAGACCTCTCCCTTGGATGGCGCAATTAGGGCGGTCAGAAGCTAATGAAAAACAGTGACAGAGTAGCTTCAAGAGAGTTTATTTTGGAAAGTTTCCTTTATTTCCACATTCATTTCTCGATATAAAACTATTGGGGGTCAGAGTGGGGAAGGGGGTAGCAGAATAAAGAAAAACCACACGATCACGCACTTCATATTTTTATATTTGTTAAAGCACCTTCTCCAAAGTCACCGGGTACAGTGCTGGTTTGGGGATGCATTTACACTCAAGGTATTCTGCTTCCACTTTGAGAAAGAACTGAAATACACTCCTCCAAAATAACTGTTGTCTGTATGTGGGTACATTTGCTGTCCTCACAACTTTGTTGGCAAGATGTCTGTGAATAATAGGCTTTGGAGCCACAGAAGAAGCAATACAACTAAGTTGGTAATAAAATGGGTTTTGTATCCAAACAGCCTGGATTCTTAAAGGCTGTGTGATCTTGGACTTATCATTTAACCTTGTGTAAGAAATTTCATCTGTAAAACAAGAATATTAAACAGTATCTACATGATAGCATTGTGATAAAAAATTAATGTGAATGGTTGGAGCAGTACCTAGAATATAGTAAACTTTCAGTAAATGTTCATTATTAAAAAGAACTGTAAATCCTGCCCTATAGAAACCCACAAACTCAGTAATATGATCTACTAGTGTAAAAGGTATTTGAGGAAGATACATGTTCTTATATATACTTTGTCTCTTCAATAGGCTGAATATTCTGAATTGGTTGAAACATTACTGTCAAGTCAACAAGACCCAGTTATTTACCAGAGATTAGCAGATGCCTTTGGCAAGCTCACAGCAAGCAGCACTCCTCCTACGCTGGATCGGAAGCAGAAGATGGCCTTTCTAAAGAGTTTAGAAGAATTTATGGCAAATGTTGGTGGTCTCCTTTGTGTAAAATAAACAACAAAGTTTTATGCTTAATTTAGATCCTTTCTGCAAAGTGCACTGAAATGCTAAAAGTTGACTTGAGTCTTATTCTGTTCTTCAGTTCTTTGGCCATGATTATGGCAAGCCTGAAAGTTTAATATAAAATGCCATGAAACAGGAGAGGTCAACTTTGAATCAGCTTCTGCTGTTAGGTGAAAGCCACAATCCATCATACATGTCTTAGAGATTTTGGATGGTGATTTAAATTTTTCAGAATGAAATTCCGTATGTACAGGCAGTATGGGCACCATGAAATACATATTCAGTGCCTTTTCCCCCTTTATCAAAACATTAGGTGGCTAGCCAAAGTTTCGAATTTTCATTATTAAATATTAAATGGTTATATGCTTAGTACTGTTCTCAAAATGTTGTCCAGAGATCCACCTGCGTCATTTGAGGAACTGGGTGAAAAGGTAGATTCTTGGGGTGCAACTTATACACCCTCAGAGTCAGAATGTCTATTTGCTGGACCTTGAATTCTTCGTTTGAATAAGCTCCTTCCCTCTGCCACGCCAAAAGTTTTAAATCAATAGAAAGGACATTGAAAACTCTTTATACGTTCTGTGCTTTCAGATTTTTCCTCCCTTTGATGATTAGGTTTCTATTTCAGCAGGAATAAGAAACATTACCAGGTATTTGTTGACCTTTTTTAGTACATGTTCCCTGCTCTCTTTTTTTGTAACATCAACCTGATGTTGTGGGTTTTGTGTAATACAGGTCTCTAATCATACTCTGATGCCTGAAATTGAGAAGGAAAATACATGTATATTTTTTGTTCCATGAAGAGAACTTTAGGAACCGTAGCCATTTCATTGCCTTAATTTTTAAGAAGAAATTTTTAAAAAGAGCAGATTTGTTATAGTAATAAATCAAGTTTTGATGCTTCAGAGTTTGTTTAGAGTGTTAGCTGCTATAAACCTGGTGCCCTTTTGATCCTGTATTTATGTGGGTTTATGGGTGAAATGAAAGACTTGTTCATATGTAGTCTTAACTTTTTTTGAGTGTGTTTCTATCCAGCCATGAAACTCATGGCTAATAATCTACTCTGAATGGCTTGCTTAAGCAATAACTATTTTAAAGGATGTGAATTACTGATTCACACAGACTATTATACTCTGGGGGCATCTAGGGGCAATAATTATGCTAGAGTGGGTATTTTCCTCATTTCATAGGAACCACGTAAATTTAATTTAAGAGATTAAGAAAATTCACTTTAAAAGTCTCTAGTTTGATTTTTCTAATCAGGAATTTTGTACTACTGCCTTGCTCCCTTTAATTCTTTATGCCAGTTTAAATTATGAATATGAAAGCTGACTTATAAACCACAGGTATATAAAACTGCCCACTGCAATATCAAAATCACACTGCATAGAGACAGAGGCCTTTGGTGCAGGCACTCTTGGAAACTGTGCTTCCAAGGGGTGGCCTTTCATCTGCTGTGTCCTTGGCACCAAAATGCTAAACTGTCCTTCAAATATAGTGTCTATTTCTGAGTTGCACATAGCATATGCACCTACATGTGTGATGCTGTGCAAAACTTTGTCTAACTCTGTGCTATAAACAGTTGCAGTTAACAAAACTGGAGCATCTAATTTCCACCCACCCTGTGCATATGGCATTTAGACACAGTGAGTGCAAGGCCTTGGCTCACAACTTTTTGAGGATCTTGATTTGATCACCATTGAGTCACAACTGAGGTGGAGCCAAGATACCTTAAAAAGACAGCTAGGAAAAAAACCCATACTCTTCATAAAATATATGCTGTTGTATTATTTAAAATATTTGAATAGTGCATTTATTTGTAGATTTCTTCTTTTTTGCCCTTACAGAGCCTGAAGCGTTTTTTTTTTTTTTAAAGAACCTGGAATCCTATGCAGCAGTAATAACTTTGTTTTGCATTGCTTTTGGTGTTTTCTGTTTCTCAGTGCCCTCACACTTTCTTGGTGGGTGTAAGTAAGCTACACGTATCTGTGTGTGTGAGAAGTGTGGCCTCTTTGCCAAAGGACACCAAAGGACACACACCTGACTGCATAGGCCACTGCTCAAGTTATTAAAAATAAGTTGAATAGGAAAGGAATGCCTTGGTAATAAATAAAATGATATCCATATTTAATAACTTACCCAGATAGAAATGTGTTTGCTAAATTTACCCAGGTGTAATTACAATACTGTAATTTCATTAGGCCAGTTTTAATTAAAACCAGATTTACTTCAGATCGGACCAAATAATACTTAAGATATCACCATACTGTTAATTAATAGCGAAGTGTGGATGTGAGGGGTGGAAGAAGCCACCATTTTTTAGATAATAGAGTTGTCACTTAATTGCAGTGGCTAGAGTATGTGTGTTTGCCTGCTTGGTTAGTTATTCAGTTTAGATCTTCTTTTGTTTTGTTTTGTCCAATTTTGTCTTCCATTATGTTTACTGGCATTTTTGTTTTTTAAATGCTCTTGGCCTAGTAGGTGTCAAGAACACTGGCTTAATTCTCTTAAATTGATTTTTACTGGTAAAACTGACTGTTTTTAGAGTTTTAAAAAGCAAAAACATTTGTGCCCCCTTTTTATATATACTTTAAGGGACACTATTGAGTATTTGATTGTAGGAATTTTGTATTTTATAAAATTTCTCTTGTTCATATATAATACCTTTAACTAGAAGTTTTCAATTATTTCTTTTTTGATTTATCTTGTTTTGTTTTCCTTGGCCCATTTGTTTTCCAAGGTATACTCTCTAAGAAGTCCCAAGGCATAATTACTAAGACTTTTTCCTTTCACATTTTGTATTTATGTAGCAACATCTGTAACTATATTCTTGTAGCTCTCTTGAAAGGATTGGTTTCCTTTTATGGTTCTGAATGGGTGGCTGCCTGGATAGCTACACTGCTTAACAATATTCAACAGTGTTCTTTCAACACAATTATTTGAGTCTTTCTGCCTTCATGTCTCAATGTGGTTGGAAGACTGTGGCATGTTAGCATCACTGCATTGAGTTTTGACTGGTTACAAAGTGTGACATTTTATTAACAAAAACTTGATTATTTTTCCAATTAAGTTTTAGAACTTAGTCTTATTTCATTGTAAATCTTACATATAATTACATTACTTGGTTCAGATGAGATGGTTACTACTTTTTTAATTCTCATTTCAATACCAAGCATATCTCTATAATTTCTTCCCAGTCAGCATCATATAACACTCCCCTTGCCTTTCATTGAACTTTGCCCTTTATCAAAAATGTCATTTTTCTTTGTAAGTCAGCATACTTCCCATTTTTGTTAATAATCACATGGACCCTTGTGTGTGAGAGGGAATAATCTGTCAATTTCAAGGTCTTTAAATTCGAGTAATATACAGTGTTGATTTAAAATACTATCCGTTCCAATTTTATGTGTGTTCTCTTTGCTACCTCTGTCATTAGAGGTAGTTGTTATTAAACCTTACCAAGTTAGCTGTCTCTCATGAATAATTATCATTAATGGTTCCTAAATAAAATATTAAGTATTAAGATACAAGGAACCTCAGTACTTCTTAGGGTTTTTTTAAAGGCCAGATTATAAGGAGCTAATTTGGAGATCAGTTCTGTCAATTTTTCTACAAAACAACATAACTGGTAATATAGTAATGTTTTAAATTATTTTAAAATATAAATGGATATTCTCTGACTTGGTACTATGTTCTAAAAAAACTGCTTTTAAGAATTCTTTTAAAATTGATTTTCTGAAGTTAAAAAATGACTAAATTAGGTATACTGCCAAATTCAAATTGATTTGAAATGGCACGGTGAAGTTGAACTTTAAACATTTTCATATAGATGTAAGAAATGTCAAGTCTGTTTGATAATATTAGGAACCCATGACATACTTAGCCAAAGAATATATTTGGTTCAGGTAAAGTAATAAACTTAATAATGGGCATCTATCCCATTTTGAAGAGGATGGATGAAGTGGTCTGTTTCTGGCCCCTAGCTCTCTATACCTAAGTCTTTGAAAAGACTGAAATGTTCTAAGATGGCTTCGGTAGTGATTGGTGGGTGTGGCTTGCACAGTAGACTCCTTGAGCTCACACCACAAACCTCCTTTATCCACCTCACCCACTGTGGCTGGCTTTTTGCTTATTCCCAGGCCTACCCAACAGTAGAGGTTTTGTTTCTTTTTCAGTCTATATTCTTAGGTCTCTTAGCTATTAGCAAATGTCAGATATGGACTAATAGCTAATTTTCCTAACCTGAAGTTAAATACTGTATCTGCACTATGTACCTAATGGGAATCTGACCTCAAGTGTGTTCTGAGCCCAGTCTTCCTGGTGTGGTGTCTTTTACCACATGAAATTATGGCAAATTGCAAATATTGATATTGTGATTTGGTTCTCTGTACAAAGAAAGAAACTCCATGCAGTGAGTGTGTGGTTTAATGGTCACAAAATGTTAGCACTGCTACCATTCAGCACGTGTAAAATTTTTTAAATTTATAAATATTAAAATTTTAAACTTACACTAAGACTTTTCAGTTTTTTTATGAGTCCCAGGGATGAGTATATTGTTAAAATATTTACCTCTTAATATTACTAATGAAGGTATAAAGTTGCATTTAATTTTTCAAAAGATGCTATGATAAGATGTTAGGAAATAAACTAAGGTTCTGTATTAAGCCAGTTACAAACTGAATATCAAATTGATAACATTTTCTTTGTATTTTTTTAAATACATAAATGGGAGTTAAAATGTGTCTTTTCACTAAATATTTTTATTACATTTTGGTTTTGACCATGTGTGATTTGTTCATGAGTAATTAGCTAGTCTGTTTTATGAAATTTATTGAAATGGTGCTAGTTTGTTTACTATTTTAGGATTATTGTCACTGGGGACATAACACAGTCATGAAATAGTTTTAAGTAAAAAACAAGAGGACATATATGTGGATAGTTAAAATAAAAATTTGCGTTACCTTCTGGGAGAACACCCAATCCTAAAAGAATATGTAGGTTTCAGAAAGAAAAGTTTTCTTTATATTATTTATTATTGAGCATATTTATTTTTATATAAGTCTATGTGGTCTTAGAAACCATTTCAGAGTTGTTATTTAAATCCTTGGACTTGGGGTATAGCTATAGTAAATATTTTTAGTGGATTAGGCTGTTCTTTTTGGCCTCTCAGGGAAAGTGGAGAACGACCATTCTGCTGGGGGTTAGACACACTTTCAAAACCCTCTGTCCAATCTTAAATCTTGTAAACATGCAGCAAAAAGATATATTTTTAAAAAAATGCATTTTGAAAATACATTTAAACTTGATTTTGCTTCCAATATTCATTTATAATGCTGTATCTTAGGTTACATTGAGATTATATTTCACTTAAGGGTGGGTGGATAAAGAAAAGTTAGCTTGTATAAAGGGAATTCCTACGGTGTATGTTCAGTTTTTGTTTCCCTTCTTTCATTGCTAAAGTCTGTGGTGCCTTAGACTCAAGCTAGTCAATTAATCCATCATTTGAGAGAGTGATACATAGTACCCAAATATAAAATGTAGGTATTGGTTTTTTTTTTTAAGATTCATCTATTTATGCACAAGAATTGGGGTACAGGCCAGTGGTGTGGATGGTGAGAGGATTCACCAGATTGGGGAACAGAACAGGCAGGTTGACTGAAATACACTGGTGAGGGAAGTAGCAGGCGAGTCAGGAGAGGTCTGCCATTCCATGTGGGTTGCTCCCTGGGCGGCCGCGGGATCAAACTCGTACTGCAGTGGCTGCAGACCTCTCCATAGGCTGTGTCCTAACCCTTTGCACTACCAGGGAGGTCCCTGTTTTAACAACTTTTGAAAAATTTTGCTCTCTTAAAAAATATAGTAGGTTTATATCAAATGGCTTATGAATGATGTCTTTGATGTGACCCATTGTGAAACACTTGGTTTGTTAAACAGGATCCCACATTGGGTCACTTGAGGTCTTTGTAATCTCAAATGGAAGTTCAGTTTGATTTTCTTTGCAAACTAAGTGGAAGCAAAAGGCATAATCGTCGAAATTAATGAGCTAATCTTTTGCTTGGAAATTCCATGTAACACTAATGGCAGCATGCTAGCTCAGATCTAGCACGTAAGTCAACATCCTCCTGAACTCTGAATGTAAATTATTTTTAACACTTAGCATGAGAGAAAGTGAGGCAAGTCTTTGTTTCCCAGAGTTGAATGGAAAAACCGAAACAGAGCTAGAATGGGGATGTGCCAACTATATTTATTCCACAGTAATTAGTAGTGTTCTTCACGTTTTGATAGTGTTCACTTTTGATCACTTTGCCAGGTTAGTCCCGAATTATTTCTTCAGTAAGCCCAAATCCTTGAACTGAGATACTCATTTGTACCCTTGCTTACAACTGCATTGGCCTTTCTGAGAAATGCACTGTCAAAGCTGTTTAAACTGGTAGAATAAAGGGTGGAGACGGAACGACCTGATTCAGTTGCTAACTGAGCTGCTTGGGGTTTATATTAGTTTCCACAAAATCTATCTGTATCATAAGACCATAAGTGTTGGTAATTTCTCCCAAAGGGAAAAGATTTTAAATGTGAGATAGATAAAATATAATAGTAGATACTCAGTAAATTCCATTGTATTTATTTATTTTTAAGATTTGTTTTGTTTATTTATTTATACAAGCACTGGGTACAGTCAGAAGCTCGGGAGGGTGAGAGAATGAGCCAGAGCCAGAGCGGGGAACAGAACAGGCAGACTGACAAAATACACTGCTGAGGGGAGCCGTGGGCAGAGCAGGAGAGGTCTGTGCACCATGTGGGACCCTCGCCGGTGGCCGGGAATTGAACCGGCACTGCAGAGGCTGCGGGCAGCTTCACAGCCCAGTGCTCAACCACTGCGCCACCAGAGGAGGCCCTCCATTGTATTTAAAGATTATTTCTAAGAATGCATTTTGCTCCATCTGGTAAATGTGTTCTAACACAAAGTCTAATACCTGATTATCATTAGTTACTTTAAAATACTGTTATGTACTATGAATACAATGTGAGTTGATAGTCACAGAGTACCTCATTGTTTTGTGGTAAGAGTTCACTATAATGTACTGTCTCTTTTTTAAAAGAGAAAATTGATCTATTTAAATCAATGGTTTCAGTTTTTCCTGAATATGCTCTGTATTATTCCAGCTCCTAACAACACATGAGTTTGATACATAACAAACTATTGGTGACTTAGGTGGTCTAAAATAAACTGGAGATATAAAACATGTTACTATGTAAAGTTAAAGACTTTACAACACAGAAGAGTCTCAATCAAATTTTCTATAGTCTCTTCTCAAAACATTTTATGGGACTAGAGTTATAGGTAACATCTTTTGCAACATCCTTAGAATAATATGATTATTTTGCACTTGAAGAATGGAATAATAACAACTGAATCTATAACAACAGGTAATTTACTAGTTATTTCTAAAAAGGAAAACATCTTGATCTTTCAGAGTAATCTCCATTTCGTTTATATGCTTTTTCTCAAGAATAAAAGTATGAATAAAGATTCATAATACACGGAAGGAATAATTCTAGATAGAATTGAAATTTATTTTAAAAGCATCTTTCACGACAAGTTTAACTTGACAACTAATTTTCCCTTCTATGAGAATCAAGTTGTTGATATTTTCAATTTTGTATGATTTGCAAAGCCCATTAAATTACAATGTAAACATATCATCAGGAAAATTTCCCTGGATGTATTACTGGTGTGCTGTCTTAGCAGAAAGCACTGAGTAGAGGTTTAACTATTTTATTCCCTGACGTTTGGGGTGGGGGTGGGAGGGTTTGGGAGGCAGATGGGGTATGAGTCCAGGTAATTTGTAAAAAAAAAAAAAAGAAATTTTACTGTTTAATGTCAGAGGACATGAAACACAGAAACCAAGAATGGAAAAGAATAGGTAATGTTCAGTGTAGTTTATATTACTTTAATGCAGTACCTTTTTCTTACATCCTTGTTTTCTAGCAGTATAGGATTTCTTCCCTCAGGTGTAGTCACCTTATTCCTTCCCCCACCAAAGTACCCATTGTCCATTACCATAGTCCATTGTATTTCTGTCCCCCTCCCATTTTACTCCTTGCCCTCCCCTTCTCCCCTCCTGGAGGCCTCAGATTTATGGTCAGATTTCAGTTTGTCTTTGACCCTTATATTCCATGTAAAAACCATCTGATATTTATCTTTATCCTTCTGAGTTACTTCACTTAGCATAGTCCCTTCCAGCTTCATCCATGTTGCTGCAAATTGCATGAGTTCATCTTTTTCTGTAGCTGAGTAGTAGTCCATTGTGTATATATACTACACCTTGATCCATTCATCTGTTGTGGGTGCATGTTGGTGGTTTTCGTATCTTTTTTTTAAAAAGATTGATGCATACAAGAACTGGGGTACAGGCAAGAGATGCGGGGAGGGGGATGAGAGGATTCACCAGAGAACGGGGAACAGAACAGGCAGATTGAATGAAATACACTGCTGAGCGGAGGGGAAACAGGAGAGGTCTGCTACACCATGTGGGTCATCTCCCTGGCTGGGGATCTAACTTGCGCTGCAGTGGCTGCGGATAGCTCCATAGTGCTGTAACTTAACCCCTTGGGCCACCAGGGAGGCTCCCTGATTTCACATCTTGACTATTGTTAATAGTGCTGCAATAAGCACAGGAGTGTAGGTTACCTTTCCAATTAGTTTTTGTTTGTTTGATTTAGGTAGATTCCTAGGAGTGCAATCGCTGGATCACATGGCAGATCCATTTCTAGTGTTTTGAGGAAACCACACAGCTTTCCATAGAGGCTGGGCCAGTTTACATTCCCATCGGTAGTGTAAGAGGGTTCCTATTTCCCTCACCAGGGAAGCCAGTGTGCACTGTTAATTTAGCCCTTGAACACTACAGGTTCTTGTCCGTGGCTAGGGATCAAACTCATGCTGCGGTGACTGCAGATAGCTTAATAGTGCTGTGTCTTTAACCCCTGCGCCACCAGGGAGGCCCTTTCAATGTAGTTTTAACACGGCAATATATACACACAAAAAAATCAAGGGCCTCCCTGGTGGCGTAGTGGGTTGAGCACAGCGCTATGAAGCTGTCTGCAGCCTCTGTGTGGCCAGTTAGAGTACCGGCCCGCCAGGGAGATTACCACATGGCGCGGCAGACCTCTCCTGTCTCGCCCGCTGCTCCCTTCAGCAGTGTATTTCGGTCCTTCTGCCTGTTCTGCTCCCTCATCGGTCTCTGGTGTATTCTCTCACCCTCCCACGCCTCTGGCCTGAACACCAGTGCTTGTATAAATAAATAAATCTTTAAAAAATTAAGAAAGCAAAAGCACATATTTTGAATTTATTTAAAAACACAGTAATACATGTACATAAAGGAACTATTGTGTTTTATATGCTACGAAGGCAATTGAAACTTTGGAGACTCAAAGAGATCTGTTTCAAGCCAAATTAATGTGCTTTACCAAACCTTCCTGTTAAATCATAAACCAAGGCAGTCTCCCATGTATGGTACACTACCTCTGTGAAAAATATAGTTTTTATTTGTTCTTTGGTTCATCATGGTGATACATTTGTTTTATATATTTTTTTGCCTTTATATGTTTTCTGGTTTTGAAATACTTTCATAGGCATGTCATTGAAACCATCAAAGTAAAAATAAAGCAGAGCTTGTTACAGACCTGGAAACAGTTTTGAAAATAGAAATTATGGTACTCCCAAAGTTGAAAACTTGTTTTATGAACTAGGCAATGGCATCATACGGTAACTGAGCAATCCTCATATCAGAAAGGATTTAGCTTAGCTACTGAGAAGATTGTGTAAAATTTAGTAAGGTCATGAAATTGGTAAAGAAAATGGAGCAAAGGAAGTTTGCAATAGAAATACACTGATTGCCTTGGGGAACGGAAAATAGATGAATCACATATGATTTGATAGCTGCTAAAGTGGAAAGGAGCCTTACTGAGTGCCTGTTATGTCCCTGGTACTGTGCCTAGATGTTTTAATATATACTAATGAACGTATTCAACACTGAAGAATTTGAAAGACTCAGGCAATCAACTGAATAAAAAGGATCCTACTTTTTAAAAAGATTTATTTTATTTATGTATGCAAGAACTGGGGTACAGGCCAGAGGTGCGGGAGGTGCGAGGATTCACCAGAAAGAGCAGTGAGCAGAACAGGCAGATCTACTGAAATACACTGCTGAGGAAGGCAGTGGGTGAGGCAGGAGAGGTGCTGGGCCAGGTGGGTTGCTCCCTGGCCCTCCAGGGGTCGAATTTGTTTTGCAGTGGCTGCCAATAGCCTGCCAGCCCTGTCTTTAACCCCTGCGCCACCAGGGACGCCCGGATCCTACTTTGAATTGTTTTCATAGAGAACGTTGTGGCCTCAAGAAATTGTGAATTATTTGCCAAGTTAGCAGCTGATCTTATTTCAACATGAACACAGTTTACCAGATTGTGCACTTGCTTACATCTTGCAGACTTTGCATCTAATCGCCAAATGAAGCCTGTATAAGGCTAGACGTATTAATTGTATTGAATATGGGAAGGCAAATTGCACTGAAGTGCAGGTTTAAAAATTTTTTTCTAATACCAGTATAATCTCAATGTCTTAATTTCTTGATTATAAGACTGAGTAGAGGAACAAAGGAAGCCTTGATTAATGTGTGTGATACTCAAGTACAACAGTAGCTTTCTTGGGATGCATTTATCTTGAGGGGAGTCGAATTAAAACCTGACTATGTATGTGTGTATGTATGCATGTATAGCTATCACTTTTGGAGACTACTGATGAGCTAGAGAAGCTTGAGGTAGCAATTCCCAGCCAGTCCTTCTTCGCGAGCTATTATCCCAGGTCACCACATGGCCTGGAGAAAGCCGTTCCCGCGCCCAATGCACGCACGGGGTAGAGCGTGTGCGCGTGCGCGGGTCGGTCCCTGCGCCCCGCTGGCCTGGGATTGCGCATGCGTGCCGGTGAGTGGCCGGGCCGTGTAGGTCGCGGGGTTTCGCCGCTCTGTGCGGGCTTGTGGGTGTTCGTTTGCTGCTCGCCCTTTCCCCAGGGCGTGGGAGCAGCGGGCTCTCAGGGCAGGCGCGCAAGGGGCAGCGGAATACTGAGGAGAGTCCTAGTTCGGTGTCGCCCGCCGGAAGCGGGCTCAGGGAGGGGCCTGGAGTCGCTCCCTCGCTGAGGGAAAGCGCCCCCCACCCCCAGTAGAGTCCCCCAGACCGGGGGAGGCCGGAAACCCCTCTGGAAGCGGCCTGGGCTGCGGCCCCCGCCCTCGACGCCCGGGGCGTGCCCAGCGGGGCTCGGTTGTCTGCCCGCCGGGCGGGCGCGGGAGCTCGGCCGGGGGGTGGCGCTGCGGGGCCGCGGGGGGCGGGGCGCACGGGAAGTGGCGTCGGCCGCGCGGGCCGCGAGGTGCCGGGAGCCCGCGGGGGAGCCGCGTGGGACCTGAAGGCCTCTCGGCGGGGAGGTGCGTACTTGGGGCGTAGCGGCTGGGCGCTTCGCCTTGTCTGTTTATGAGCCGTATTTCACTGTAGGTTAATATTACTTGAGTTTTTTAAAAGGTTAAGTAGCAAAACGATTTTAGAAAGCGAGAAGGAAGGCGCCATTGCACTACAAAATCAAAGATGAAAAGAGAACCCCCCCACCCCTTTATTTTTAACGGTAAATCAGATTATGTGTAGGCTCATGCAGCAAGCAATGTGCAGAATGTGTTTCGGGAACGTCTAGACCATTCTTGCCCATTCACAGAAGGGGGCACATAAAGGAACCTTGGTTTATCACCCTTCTCCCCAATTCACTGAGAGTCTGGCCTGAATCCTGGGTTAATGTTCTTTCCGCTGGATTTCACTGCCGTGCTAAAAATTTCTTGCGGAGGCAATATGATATTTTGTGAATTTATGGGGGGGGGGCGAGGGTCTTGCTTAAAGTATATTTGATAGATGGAAATTGAAGAATTTTATGCATTTGAGATGTGGTTGGGTGTCCATGTTACTTTTGAAGATCACGGTTAGTTATGTTAAGTACTGTGTAAAGAAATAAAGCCTGCTAATTCCTACTGATGCTGCACACTAACATGTTCACCCCTTTGCTCTTGCTGTTCTTTCTGTAATCTGCACACTTCACCCTTCCCTCACTCTCTACTTCAAGTTGAAATGCCACCTGCTGCTTCATTTCTATCCTCTACCCAGCCGTGCTCTTCACTCTGATCCCCTGGCATTAAATGGTGCCCCTGCAACAAATCTCATCCCATCATAACTGTCACTTGTTTATGTCTCTGTCTGCCATAGTTCTTTATTAGGGAGGGTTGCGGGTTGCCCGTAATGTGCAGTGTTTACCAGCATGCCTGACCGCTACCTATTTACTACCTGCCGGTAGCACTGTTCCCAGTTACTATGACAGCCAAAAATGTAACCACACATTGTCAAATATTTCTCTGGAAGGCAAAATCTTACCTGGTTCTCCTCCAAGAATCACTAATCTAGAGTATAAAACACATAAGACTCAGCATCAGTTTACTAATAATATAAGAGCCCTTCCCAATTCTTTTGGACTTAGAAATATCTCCAAGTCATTTCACATATCCAGGTAGAAAATTTTAAATAATACTAAAGCTATGTTAAAGTTAAAAAAAAAAATTGGCATGTTAAAACTAAGTATATTAAAACAAATTAAGACATTTAAATTGCCCTTAGTAGTGCTTATTACATAAACAGATTTTTAATTTTTTCTACTTAAAGATGCTCTCTTTAAACTCACTTTAAGACTGTAGGAAGTAGTTCGATTGCTAAAATTGCAGCCCCTTGTATGCGCCACATGTTCCTCCATTGCTGTATTCATTGTCCAAAATGTGTTTTATTTCTGTTGTTTATAGCTTCACTTTGCCATACTCATATATAAACTCCAAGAAGATGGGGAATTTATATTGAAATTTAATTAATTACCTTTTACAGACTGGTCTTTGGAATTATTTGTTTTAAAATTAAAATCAACTGGTTTCTTTTAATTTTCATGTTTTATTTCTAAATGGTTAGTTAACTGGTTTCAAGTTGCATTTTGAAAGCTCCACAGATGCAGCTTTGGAAAGTGTTTAATACTAATAAAAATTAAAATATACTTAAAATATTTCTGTGTATACCAAGGATATACACATATCTGTGTGTCTGTATGAATGTATATGGGTACACACATTTCCTTCAACTCGTCTAGGCAGCTAGAAGAGTTGTGTGATGCAGCTCTGTTCTGGAACGGGTAGTTCAAATCTGCCAGGAGACATAGGATTTTAATTATTGCTCGATTCTCTTTCTGAATGAAAGGACCTCTCAATCCTGAAATACCAAACCAAAATGAAACCTTTCAGTTGTTTTGAGGATCAGTTTGCTGTATTTTCTCAGTCTTTCCTTCACAGCCTACATACATACTAATCTTTGGAATTTCCACTAGGAAATTCTCCAGGCTGGTAGTTTTTGGTATGCTTTCAAAAAAGTTTATTTTTTTGTGCTTATTGCAGTAAACTAAAACTACTCATTTCAAGCCCTTGAATGCCAGTCTTCGCTGGCAATAGCTCTGTGTTGACATACTATTTTATTTATTTATACAAGCACTGGGTACAGTCAGAAGTGCGGGAGGGTGAGAGAATTTACCAGAGCCAGAGTGGAGAGCAGAATAGGCAGAAGGACTGAAGTACACTGCTGAGGGGAGCAGCAGGCGGCAGGAGAGGTCTGCACGCCATGTGGGACCCTCCTCTGGTGGCTGGGGGAGCAGCTGGGGATCGAACCGGTGCTGCAGAGGCTGCGGGCAGCCTCGCAGCCCAGAGCTCAACCGCTGCGGCACCAGGGGAGGCCCTAGCCTGGTTTCTCTCTTGCCTCTCTCCTGCTTCTTCTGCTTCTGTTTCTCTTGGTGACTATCCCAGTACTCCTCCCATGGCCCACAGAAGTAAACAAGACAGCTTACAATAATGTAACAACTGCAGGTGCCCCATGAGGCAGGACAATCCTAATGGTGGGAGGGCAGAAAAGCCTGAAAACCATTTACCCTACACATACCCTCTTTCAGAGTCCTCCACCCTGTAAGCCTCTGGACCATTTTCAATACTAAGTATCTAATTGGTAATGGCTAGCACCAATTGGCTTACTTCCATTTTCAATATGAGTAATTAACTCACTGCCATAAATAAAACTGAGCTCAAACCTGATTGGTCCACTTATGATCCAGGTGTCAAATATAAAAGTGAAAAAGCCCAGTGCCTGCACAGACTTGACCTGCCCTGAGGTCAGGGCAGGTTCATGCTGGTGGGCTCAGAGCAGCTGCCAGATGCTGGTCTCAGTGGGGCCAGAGCACAGTGCACCCCGTGCCCCTTCAATGGATGTGGTCTAACAATGCTAAGGTGTGGGTGGAGGAGGAGGGGAGTCTGCAATAGCACTGGGACATGCAACTCAGCCACAGCAGGGCAGGTTCTGCTGGAGCCCACCATGTTGGCCCAGTGCTGCCTCAGTAGGGGCCTAACACTCCTCCCAGTGGCCCCAGCCAGGAGCCACAGGGCTTGGGGATTTGCCTCAGCTGCCGTGGTTTGCTCTGTAGAAGGGGGGAATGTGCACTGCAGCCCCAATGGGGCTACATACCCTGGGGCAGTGTGGCAGGGAAACCACTGCCACCACGCTCTGCTGCCATCTGCCTGATCCCCAGTTGGGCCACTTAAACTGAGTGCAGCTGCCTCAGCACACCTACCTGCTGCTTTCAAAGCTGCCTGAGCCTGTCCACTCCACATGCACTGGGGTGGTGGGGAGGTGCTCCTAGGCAGAGGTCTGAGGCAGCTTGCCTGCCCCTAGCTGGCCAGGGAAAAGCCAGCCATGCCCTGGGGCTTCGCACTCTGGGGATCTGATTTTATAACTACACATAAGAAGAAATTTCCCCCATAAAGGACGCAAAACACCATGACCAGTTACAGTTAGGTATCATTACTTAACTGTAAAAGACTGAATACTTTCTCCTTGAGATCTTGAATAAGTCTGGGACATCACCTGCTGTCACCACTCACTCAACATGGCAATAGAAGTCCACTACAATAGGCAAAAAAGGAAATAAATGGCATCCAGATTGGAAAGGAAGAAACACAGCAGTTGCTATTTATAGAAACATGATTTTCTAAATAGAAAATTGCATGGAATCCTTAAACTCTTGAACAAGTGAATTCCTCATAGATACAGGATAAAGCAAAATCTCAATCAGTGTTATTTCTATATAACAACACTTAACACGCTGAAACTGAAATAATGAAATACTTAAGCATAAATTTAACAAAAAATATGTATACGGGACCTTTATACTGAATAACTTAGAGGATTTACCAAATAAAGAAAAACTAAATAAGAGAAATTTTGTGTTTCATTAGTTGGAAGACTTATTAACACAGTAAACCTGTCAATTTTCCTTAATTTGATATATCAGTTTAACACAACTTGTATCAAATTTCTAGCAGATTTTTTGTACCTACTGGCAAACCTTCTATAAAATTTATGTGGAAAGGCAAAGGAAATAGACTATCAAGTAATTTTGAGTAAGAAGAGCAACATAGGAATAATCGTGCTACTTGAATTTTAGAACATATAAATCAAGGTAAGTGTGGTTTTGTTGAGATCCACATGTTGGTGAGTTGGAATGAAATAACCCAGATCTGCACAATATGTCCAGGTGCTCTTTTTTTTTTTTTAAAGGTTAATTATCTATTATGTATGCATACGGGAACAGGGTGTAGGCCAGAGGTGCAAGGGATGAGAGGATTCACCAGAGAGAGTGGGGAGCAGAATAGTCAGGTCTACTTAAATACACTGCTGAGGGGAGCAGGGAGCAAGACAGGAGAGGTCTGCTGTGCCATGTGGGTTAGCTCCCTGGGTGGGGATCGAACTCATGTTGCAGTGGCTGGCAATAGCTTGCTAGCACTGTGTCTTTAATCCCTGCGCCACCAGGGAGGACTTCCAGGTGCATTTTGACAAAATCAAAAATGCAGTTTTAAAAATAACCTTTTCAATAAATGGCCTTGGAGCAATTGAACATCCACTGGTCTCCTCCTCCCAAAAAGAACCTGACCTAGAACTCACCTTATGTAAAAGTCAGCGCATTCAAAGTGGGTCCTAGATTTAAACCTAAGACTATTCAACTTTTGGCAGAAATTTTACCCAGGAACTTAGTGCTTGGCAAATCTCTATTGGGCTTGGCATCAAGAGCAAGATCTAGGGCCTCTCTGGTGGCGCAGGGGTTAAAGACAGCACAAGTTCTATTCCCCTGTCTTGCTTGCTGCTCCCCTCAGCAGTGTGTTTCAGTCAATCTGCCTGATCTGTTACCCACTCTGTCTCTGGTGAATCCTCTCACCCCCGCACCCCCACCTCACACCTCTGGCCTGGACCCCAGCTCTTGTATGCATAAATAAATAAATCTTTTTTTTTTTTAAAGAGCAAGATCTAGAAAACATTGATATATTTTATTTCACTAAAATTGAATACTTATGCTCTGTAAAAGACCCTGTGATGAGGAAAAATGTACATGCTACAGACTGGATAAAGTATTTGCAAGCTACATATCTGATAAAAGACTTGTATCTAGATCATACATAAAATTGTCTAAGGTTCTCTCAAAATTCCACAGTAGAAAAACAAATGACCCAGTTAGACTATAACAAAAATAGATACGAGCAGATATTTCAAAAAAGCACACACAGATGGCAAATAAGCACATGAGAAAGAGTTCTGCATCATAGGTGTTCAAGAAATGCAATTAAAACTTCCATGAGATAGCACAGCACACCCATTAAAACAGCAGAAATAAGCAAATGCCAAGTCCTAGTGAGGATGCAAATAAACAGGATCTCATTGCTGATGGGACTGTAAAATGGAACAACCACTCTGAACAAAGACTTGGCAGTTTCTTAGAAAACTGAACACTGAATCATTCACAAAACATCACTCATTAAAGCTTGGTCTTAACTCCGGTACTGTACAGTGTCACTAACTCCAGGTGGTACAATAAGCAGCAACTGTTCTGGCCATAAGTTTCTAAAAAACACCTTTTCTCTCTGCTTCTATTTTACTTTTCTTTTTCCTTTTTTCCTTGTTTTCCCTTTGATTTTTCGGATCTCTTTACACACCCCTCTTTTTTTCCTCATAAATCCTTTACTATTCTGTCAGTAACACCCAGTGGCCTTAAACCACCCAAAACATTTAAGTGACATGCAATCATAAAAAGATCTCTGATTCAGAGACTGCTATGAAATGTCTGCATCTGGACAGAAGAGAGCAAAAAGATTAGATATTTGTGGTTAAAATTTTGTTCTATAAGGAATCATGAAAATCTCACTTGTAGAAACTATTTAAAAAGAAAAGTCTGCATTTGTTAAATTGTAGTTCAATAGACCTCCTAGATGTTTGATCTCATTTAAATATGTATATTTTCCTTATAAATTCACCTCCAGTTGGGATCCTTGCTCCGCGATAAACTGTAATTAATAGATAGGAAGGGGAAAAACCCATGGCACTTTGGCTTATTTATTGGCAGGTCAGAGACCATTTATAAAATGAGTGACTTTGAAGATGATGATATGCCCCAGCTTTCTGCCCATACCCTCGCAGCTCTCCAGGAATTTTATGCTGAGCAGAAGCAACACACGGACACAGGTGGGGATGAGAAATATAACATTGGAGTCATAGAAGAGAATTGGGTAAGTCGAGGCCTTCCACCTTTCTCAGGAAGTATTATCATGGAACATGTTCTGTATCTTAATCCAATTTTTGTCTCTACCCCGCTTAAAGACCCAAATTTATCTCACCATTTGAGAATGGATAGCCTATTGAGGGAGCAAAGGCAAAAAGAACGGTCCACAGGCACTTTTATATAGCAGGAATGCAGATTTTCCTGTTTTCACTCAGATTGGCTAGTGATTAGAGCAGGGGACTTTTCAGATAAGGGAGTGGGGCCAGCGCAAATTTATGCTTCCTTCTTGTGTATGTAAATGTAGTCTATTAGCTTTCATGCAACCCAGCAAACCTGATGGAAAAATCTATCATTGTGTTAAGTGGAGTAACTAAACTTAAATGCAGTGAAAAATGGATGAAAGGGAGTTTTTAAAAAGACAGTATTTTCTGATGCATACTAACCTTTAATTATACTTTTATAGTCAAAATAAAAATGGGAATTATGAAGAGGGGAAAAATGAAAAAAAAAATTTAAATACTTTGTACTTTTTGCTGATTCAAAAGTAATCTATGATTGTTATAGAAAATATGTAAAACATTAAAAAAACAAGTTAGGGGCCTCCCTGGTGGCGCAGTGGGTTGAATGCTGTGCTGTGAAGCTGTCCACAGCCTCTGCAGCGCTGATTTGATCCCCAGCCAGCAAGGGAGAGCCCCACATGGCAAGGCAGACCTCTCCTATCTTACCCGCTGCTTCCCTCAGCAGTGTATTTTGGTCCTTCTGCCTGTTCTGCTCCCTGCTCTGTCTCTGGTGAATCCTCTCACCCTCCCACGACTCTGGCCTGTACCCCAGTTTTTGTATAAATAAAATAAACCTTAAAAAAGAAAGAAGTTAGTAAAAGGCAGAAGATTTAGACAATCTGGAGAAATCAGAGTATTTAAATAAAAACCAGTTAGTTCTAATCACATTAATTAGAATTAACTATCCTTATAATTTTGATACTTTTTTTGGCTTTTTTTGGTTATTTATAAAATTGTGGGAATCTCAGAGGAAATTAAGAAAATAATAATAGCGTGAAGTATAGGAAAGAAAATATTATAAAGCTAAAGGATAAATCCAGGTGGTTCAAAATTCAACTACTTGGGCTTCTAGAAAAATTGAAAACAAAGATGGAAGGAACTATTCAAAGAACAGTGTTAGAAAATTTCTCAGAACCGAAAACTTTGACTAAGACATGATTATGATAATTGTGAAAATTCTGAATACAGGTAACAAAAAAGATTCTAGAATCTTGCAGAGGAAAAATAGATCCCCTACAAATCTCAGTACTCTCAGTCATATTGGACTTCCCAATAGTTTTATTAGAAACTTGGGGTGGGGGAGAGAGGGGGGACAGGGAGTGAAGCAATAACTTCAATATCTGGAGTATTTTCATTGTAGAATTCTGTCTGAGCTGTCAATCAAATGTGAGGATAAAATAAAAGAATTTTAGACATGGCGAGCAAATCTTACAGCACTTGCCTCCCATGCACCACTTCTCAGAAATGGCAAGAGGATGTTAGGGATACATTCAGACAAATAGTGAATGAAAGAAATCATTCAAACCAATAGTGAAACAGTCATGCATTTAATATTAACCCTGGGAAAAACGAAAGGTAGGATATTGAAGGAAATACAATCATAGTGTATTACTTGGCTCAGCAGTGAACACTGACAATAGATTTTAACTAAAACTGAGGTACCAGCTATATTGGGAGAGTGGGGAGGAGGGAAGAGGAGTATATAAAGAGCAAACTTCTTGTATACCGTAATAAATACAGAATGTGAAGTGGATTCATCAAGAGATTGCATCTATAAATAAAATTTGAAATAAGGGACTAAATTTTTAAAGGAAGAGTTGAATTGAAAATTGCTTCTGAGGAGGAGTGGGACTCCGTGGTGGGAAGACATGAGCAGGGGGCTGTTTTTCTCTGTAAGCCTACTGATGCTTTTGATTTTTTTTTTAATGTCACTTATGGATTTTATTTTTTTAATTTTTATATAATTTATTAATTTACATACATTTTACAACATTGTTCATTTTTGTATAAGGTTTGCTTTCTCATCTCAGGTGTAGTCCCCTAGAATTTCCACCACTGGGGCCTCCCTAATAGCACAAGGGGTTAAGCCTCAGCTCTTATGAAGCAGTTCATGGCTACTGCAGCACAAGTTTGATCCCCAGCCAGGGAGGTGACCCACAAGGCATAGCAGACTTCTCCTGTCTCGCCCACTGCTCCCCTCAGCAGTGTATTTCAATATATATGCCTGTTCTGCTTCCCGCTCTGACTCTGGTGAATCCTCTACCGCCTCCCCACCCCCACACACCTCTGGCCTACATTCCAGCCTTTGTATACATAAATAAATAAATCATTAAAAAAAAAAATTCCTACCACCAATTCACCCACGCAACATCACCATAGTCCCTTGTGCTCTTCCCTTCCCTGTTTTGGTTGTTCTCCCTCCCCCTCCCTTCCAGAATGTCTCTGATTTATAGTTGCTTGTTAATGTTTTTGCTGTTGCTATTATTTTTTCCCCTGATCCCTTATTTGGTTCCCCTATATTCCTTCTGTAAGTGGTGCTTTGATTTTTAAAGGCATGTTCACATAACACGTTGATTAACAATGAGATTTTTGTTTTTGAGAATGCTATGAAGAGAGCCAAGACACTCGATTGGGCTGTGACAGTAGGGGTGAGAGAGAAGGGCAACTCCGTAGCTCACCAACAGAAAACTCTGCCACCTCCCAAGTCCATTGAAGCAGAAGCCCCTGTGTGCTGCTGTGCCCTTGATGCTTCCTGAGCAAAGAGGGAGTCAGAGCCTCACATTTGTTCTGTAGCTGAGAGTGGTTAGACGGTGACATCTAGATATGATATAACATATGCCCTAATTAATATATACACATATCCCAATGCATATGTACTTTGTCTTTAGAAACACTGTAAATCTGGATTTAAGAGCTGTCAGCAGGCACTGGCTGCCCACTCACCTACTCACAACACTGCCCTGCTGCCCACTGTGCAGGGCAGAGGCCTCTTAGAGAAATGGACCATTCCCCCACAGGAGTTTCACGTTTCCCATTAAAATCATCTTTATTTTTTTTAAAGATTAATTAATTAATTAATTAATTTATTTATTTATACAAGAACCAGGGTACAGGCCAGATGCACAGGAGGGTGAGAGGATTCTTTAATTTATGAATGAGAATAATTTAAGGATCATAGAAATTTAAAGAAAATCATCAATCAGCGTGAACAGGAGTTGTAAGATGGAAAAAAAAAAACCTTACCCCTGAGGGGAAAACAAGTAATTAAGGGACTATTCAAAAGGTAAAAACAATGCCATCATGGAAAGCAGTCAGGAGATTCCTCAAAAATTAAAAATAGGAATTCCATACAATTCCATTACCTTATATCTGGGATACAAAACACATGAATTCAAAGATATATATGTACTCCATGTTTACTATAGCTGAGAGCTGGAAACTGCCTGAATTTCCAACAATAAATGATTAAATAAGATGCAATATATATACCAGTGGAATAGTGTAGGCTATTAAAAAATTACAAACCCTGCCATTTGCAACAACATGGATGGACCTACAGGGTATTGTGCTTAGTAAAATAAGTGAGGCAGAAAAAGACAAATACCAGATGACTTCACTTATGTATTACATAAAGAAACAAACAAATGATTGTAGCAAATAAAGCAAAAACTTTTAGAATGTAACACTAAATATCTGTTACCAAGAGGGAAGGGCATAAAGGGTAAATGTAGTTAAAGTGGTCAGTCATGTTTGCTTTTTTTCCCCATCATGTACTGGAAGGCTGAAGCTGGTGTGTGCTGTTAATTTAGCCCTTGAACCACCACAGGTTCTTGTCCCATGAAGCTGTAAAAGGGAGTTCCCAGACTTTTTAGATAAGTAAGCAGAGCGAAGCAAACTTTACTCAAGAAAGTGAAGTTTATTTAGAGGGAAAAGAACAAAAGCAAAGACTCCAAGACAGCAGTGCCAAGGAGGGGCAAAATACACTATTATGGGCCCATGTCTAGAGGATGTTTAAACTCTTTTCCTCTGTTAGAAAATCTCGTCATGTTACAGGGCAATCCTGATAAGAAACAGGTTGCCTGACTGTGGGTCCTCACCCACACACTTAAAGGGAACTTATCAATGCTAAACTGCAGGCACACACAAGAGGTTGATAAAAGGTTTATTTACAAGGGAAGGAGAAATGGGGAAATGAATAACTCAGAAAAAGAGGGTGATAAATTCGTAAATGCCTCCTACCTGTTCACCTGGAATCCTAATGACCCACTGAGAGCTGGCAAAAAGCCAAGCATTGTGGAGCCAAGAGGGTGACCCCAGTGCACATGACTAGTTATATACCCAAACAGAAAACATGGCTGCTTAACTCCACGCTCAGGTCCTTGCAACCCTCCCTTTGGTGATCATGGGATTTGTAGTTCCCAGTGTCTTGATGGCTCTGGTCTAGAGTGGGGGCAGAGTCCACAAAACCTCCATGGAGTTTGCTCCATGGGATGTGCCCATTTTCCCAATTCTTATCTTACAGGTTCTCTTTTGACCTTCCCTGTCCAAGCCCTCTTAAAATTTACTGTCCCAATTAGCCTTAAATTTTAGCCTTAAAATTTACTGCCCTTATTAGCCCTTATTAGCCCTCCTGAATTTCTCTGACCTTATCCCAGAAGCCTCTTTAACTCTTTCAAAGCCCCTGCCTATACTGTCCCTGAAGCTGCCTAATTAACTAATTAACCCTAACTTGCCCTGTGTAGGGTAAATAGTTTTCAGGCAATTGCATGCCTGATGGTGGGCACCTGCATTTTGTTACATTGTTATATTCAGTTGTATTGTTCACTTCTGTGGGCCATGGCTGCAGTATTTGCAGTATCTATATTATCCAAGAGAAGCAGAAGCAAGAGAGCGCACAAGAGAGCTGGGAAAGAGGAAAGAGCAAAGACTTGCTGGGGGCTAAGAAGCCTCCTAGCCTCCTGCCACCACCACCCCCCAAACCCTGAAAAATCCACCCAGGGCTCCAGGACTCCTTTACCTGTCTGCTCCAATCATAGAAAACCTGCTCTGTGTGTTCCTGGCACTATACCCTAGGACTCAATGTTTTAATTAATTAATTTTGAATGAACTGCCATTGTCTTATAGCTTTGTTAATTTTTTGACAGTATAGGATTTCTCACCTCAGGTGTGGTCGCCATAGCTGTCCCACCACCAAAGCACCCATAGTCTGTCACAGTACATCTGCTCTTCTGCTGCCCCCTCCCCAGGTGTTCTCATGTCTCCCCCTCACCTCTCTCCTCATATTCCCCTCCTGGGTGTATATGGTCTATGGTCAGCTTTGAAAGGGTTGATTTTAAAGTTTGTCTTTTTCTCACCCTTTGTTTGGTTTCTCTATATTCCACATATAAGTGACACTATTTGGTATTTACCTTTCTCCTGGCTTATTTCACCTAACATAATCCTGAAGGGATCAATAGTGTGGTGAAGAATGGAGTTAAGAGTTTTGGTGGTAAACATTAATGTAATATGGTTTGACTAATAATGATGCACACCTGAAATCTGTAGACTCTCCTACTACATGTTACTTCAGTAAAAATAATTTTTTTAAAAAAGGTAAAACCTAGAGGCCATGACTAAGACACACAGATGGTTTTGCTGACCTGTGTATCTGTTATATCCTTTGGCATGTTCTTTATTTAGTCCTTTGTATTTGGGTATCATTTAATACATTCTTCTGTTCTCTGTGTTTGAAATTCTGCTAATTGTTAACTGACTCAAGAAGCTCAATTAAAGTCAGGTTCAGGGCCTCCCCGGTGGCACAGCGGTTGAGCGCTGGGTTGCAAAGCTGCCCGCAGCCTCTGAAGTGCTGGTTCTATCCCCGGCCGCCTGGTGAGGGTATCACATGGCCTGATAGACCTCTCCTGCCGCCCGCTGCTCCCCTCAGCAGTGTACTTCCTCAGTCTGCCTGTTCTGCTCTCTGCTCTGCCTCTGGTGAATTCTCTCACCCTCCCACGCTTCTGACTGGACCCAGTGCTTATATAAATAAATAAATAAATCTTTAAAAAAAAATTCAGGTTCAGTTTTTTTTCAGCAAGACACATAAAAGGTGGGAATGTGTTCTTAACTGGCTGTCTCCATTGTCATGTCAGCAGCCATTGATACGTAATGTCTGGATTCCATGAATTAATGAGGGCCCTTGGTCAATGTAAAATACTTTTGAAGAAAAATTAGTTTTAAAAAGAAAAAACTTAAATATATGCATACTGGTATAGTACGCATACATTAATACAATTTATGCCAGTTCTCGAATAACCTCAGCCTATTCCTGTGTCAACAGCAGCTGAGCCAGTTCTGGTACAGTCAGGAAACTGCTCTTCGACTCGCAAAGGAAGCTGTCACAGCTGCTGGAGAAGGTGGCAGGTGAATTCAGGTTTTGTTTCTCCTCTGTCTTCTAACCTGTAGTAATATTTTAAGTGTCCTTCCTAGATGAGAGATATTTGTAAAAGTCTGAAGTATAATCTTCAAAATTTATAGCTCATGATTTGAGAACCACTTCAATATAGAGTTTAGGGGTAATTCAGTATCTGTTCATCGTTCAGTCTCTTCATTCTATTATATTTTGAATGTATTCATTCTATGGAAGACCTTGTAAGAGGTCTTTTCTCTTTTAACATTCTCTAACCTGTTTCTTATATTTGTGCCCCCAGAGTATGCTTTAAAAGAAAAAATCTTAATGTTTGACCTTTATGAAGTTTTTAAAACAAGGTTTTCTTTTTTGTTAGATTTATTTTTATCAAACATTTCATGCATGCAATTTAAAGTCCTGGTCCTAAAAGATTTGTTCCAAAAATAAAATCCATTGCTAACTTCCCCCTTGCCTACTACCCCTTCCATCTCACTTTCAGTTGATTATTTTGATATTTACTCCCATATTTCTAAATAACATGACAAATCAGCATGTCTTGATTTATCACTCATACACATTTCTTTACTTCTTGCCGCAGAAAATAAGGGTCCATCCCCCACACGAGTGCATAGTTTCTGCCTATGTCCCCAAGAGAGTTATCTCCTGATTTTGGTTATGAAACAGGGGTGGTGGTGGCAAGAGGATGGGATAAGCCGGCATAGCTACCCACCTGCCCAGGCTCTGCGACAAGAGAGCTGCCAAAAACCCCTTTAACCTGTGTGCACAATTGCAAGAGACCTCAGGCGCCAGGATCAACCACCATGGGGTTTATTTTACAAACAGGGGAAATAAAGAGCTTACTGTAGCCACTGTAAGGTTATCTCACCCAGATACTGTCCACCAGAAGTACAAGCAGAGTAGTGGTCACCTGTCAACAGAACTAGACCACACCGGCCAATAGTGATGGTTACTACTGTTCCCCCAGAGGCAGTGTCAGCAGCTCTTTGTGTGCGTTGTTGGACAACACCAACAACAAACAGCTCTGAGACACCAGGCCCAGAGCCTTTGGTGCTCCTTTCAGGCAATGTCAGAGATAGGACAGAAGGCCCAGCATCTGACAGAGGTCTTCAGCTTCTCTTCTTCCCTCAGAGGTCACCTGCTAGATGCTTCTTTTTTTCTCTCTTCTTTCTGCTTCTGGTCCTTCTTTCTTCAGAGGCCAGAAACACAGTCTTCCTTTTCTTTCTTCAGAGGCTGTAACAATCTGCTCTGCTCACTCTGACCCTGTCTTATATCCTCTCTCAGGGTGCCCCACCCACAAGTCTGATTGGACTGTTTTTCAATTCTGAGGCTTACTGGACCATTTAGCACTAATCAGCTCATAGTTCGCACCTGATTGGTCCATTCCATGATCCAGACAGTAAGGGCAGTTGCTGGGCTTTGAGGAGCAATTGCCACAACTGATTGTGGTGGAGCAGCAGGGAGAGAGGATACCACTGCTGCTGCCAGCTGGGTTCTGGTAACAGTTAGTACAGGGTTTATATTGTTACAGCCATATAAATGTGCTTTACAATTGAGCCTTATCCTTTTTATACAGTTTTTCATTTTCCCTGAAAAAATAATTCTATTTGTATGTATGTTTCTATGTATATCCCTAATTAGTCCTCAAATTCCTCCCCCCCCTTTCCCGTTGTGTAAATCCCTTATCAATAAATGCAAACTTGGGCCTCCCTGGTGGTGCAAGGGGTTAAGACGCAACCGTGGAGCTATCTGTAGCCACTGCAGCATGAGTTCAATCCCTGGCCAGGGAGCTACCCACATGGCACAGCAGACCTCTCCTGACTCGCCTGCAGCTCCCCTCAGCAGTGTACTTCCACCAATCTGCCTGTTCTGTTCCCCACTCTGTCTCTGGTGAATCCTCTTACCCCACCCCACACCTCTGGCCTGTACCCCAGTTCTTGTATGCATAAATAAATAAATCTTTTTTAAAAAATGCAAATTTATTTTAACCCCTTAAAACAAAGTACTCCCAGAATTTTTTAACCTGTTCCAATCTAGCCTATTTGCTTCCTCACTTTGTTTCTGCTCTTATCTTTTTATCTCTCTCTACCATCATGCTGAGGAGTGCTCTTTTGTTCTGAATTTCCTGTTCTCAGTACCCCAATTCTTGGTTTATAGCCTAATCTTGATTGGGTACATCCTTCAATATCTTCCACAAAAAAGGTACATGGGAGGGGAATTTCACAATAAATATTTTTATTCTACCTTTACTCTTGGTTATGACAGTTTAGTAGGAGATCTAATTACAAATTTTGAGGGTATTTCTAATTACCTCCAAGTTCCCATAGGTGCTGTTAGAAATCCAATACCATGCTAATTTCTTGTAAGAGACTTGTCTTTTTTCCTATAACTGCCTACTACAAGCTTGAGAGGTTCCCTAAAATCCTTTGTAATGTGCAGTGTGGGAAAATTGTCTTAAATTATTTTTTTTATTTCTCCCCTTCTGTTTGTCTGTTCTTTCTGAAACCCCTGTTGTTTGGACTTTGGATCTGATATTTTACTTTGCTGCAAAGTGGGTTGAGAAAAAAATCTTCCTCTGTCCCCATGGTCTCCAGATCCCCCAGTTCCTCACCTACAAGGAGATGATGGTTATTGGTCTTATGAGTCTCACAGAGATTTCATACCCTTTTCTTCCTTGAATATCTTGGAGATTAATGACTGTGTGATATGCTGCTGTAATAGATGTACCACAATCAACTCAATATTTAAGTTACCATTAGTTTTTCAGCACTTAGTTTTAAAAGTTAGCCATTAGAATATTGCTCATTCATAACTAGGATTCTGTCATTTTCTATACACAAAGCAGAAATTCCAAGTTTATCTTGGAATTTAATGTCTTAAATTCCACCTGACTTTAATGTCTCTTTTTGGAAAACTGGAGTCATTTAGGCAGTTATTTGGGTTTTTCTCTTTCAAGATTATGAATATTACAAAATGATGTCAAAATAAATAATTTGAGATAAAAAGTATTTGAAATGAATATTAAAGGGCCAACATGAAAGTAATAGGTAAATTTGGGCTTTGAGTCAGCTAACTTTTGTCCTAAAATGTTTCTAAACATTTTTTACTATAAAAGCACATTATTTCATACCTTAAAATTATGAGTGGTAAATTTTTAAATACCAGATTCCTTAAAAGTGGCAAGCTAAAGTTTTCTCTCAATTTTTACTACTGTTTCATTAGCTTGTACTATTATTTTCTTTAAGAAAATCTGAATGTAAGAACCTATGCACATTGCTAGAGAAACACTCTTTATTTAACACCATACACTCTCCATTAAAGAGCTTTCATGAGTGTTTGTTTTAAATTCTAGAATTGCATGCGTGAGCGCCCCCAGTGTTTACCAGAAACTGAGAGAGCTGCATAGAGATGACTTTTCTATATACATCTTTGAATATGACAGAAGATTTGCCATATATGAAGAGGAGTTTATCTTCTATGATTATAATAATCCATTGGATTTACCTGAAAAAATTGCCTCACATAGTTTTGACATCGTCATAGCAGATCCCCCCTATCTTTCTGAGGAATGCCTCAGAAAAACATCAGAAACCATTAAGTATCTGACACGGGGCAAGATTCTGCTGTGTACAGGTAGGTGCCAGGTGGTATGTCTTATGGGAGCTGGTGAGGGTGATATTTAAACCTTAAATTTCAAGAATTAGAAGAGCTCTTAGAAATCAAGTGCTGAATTCCTTACTGTGACCGTGAACAAGTTACTTAACTTTTCTGTGCCTCAGTTTCCTTATCTATAGCTGCCAGTCAGGATTGTTGAGAATTGACACATTACACATAAAGTGGGGTCTGGCACATAGTACATGTGCGTGAAGGTTATTTTTACTTACCAGCAGCAGCAGCATGATGATTTGGTCTCTACACTTGATAAAAGAGAAATTTGGAATCTATACAGTTAAAGGGAATTTCATAATCACAGAACTAGACATTATGTTTATTATGTGTTTTGGCAGGCTAGTAAATAGTAGTCAAATGAATAGATACGAAATTGATACTACTGATGGGGGCCAAAAGATTTGCGTTGTTGACACATTCGCAAGACAGGCAGTGGATCGGGGCTGGGCTGGAGGGAGAAATTGGTGTGAGTATATTCACTCATAGGTTGCAAGATTAAATATTACTGAAAAGGGGGTTCTTGACTCAAAGTTGGCAAGCATTAGTTTTTAGTAATTTTTGCTTGTCTGATTTTTTTTTTTAAAGATTTATTTATGCATACAAGAGCTGCGGTGTAGGTCAGGTGTGAGTGGTGAGAGGATCCACCAGAGACAGAGTGGGGAGCAGAAAAGGCAGACTGACTAAAACACACTGCTGAGGGGATCAGTAGGCAAGACAGGAGAGGTCTGCTGCGCCATGTGGGTCACCTCCTTGGCTGGGGATTGAACTCGTGCTGCAGTGGCTGCCGATAGCTTCATAGTGCTGAGACTTAACCCCTTGTACCACCAGGGAGGCCCCCTAATGTTATTTTGAAGAATATAATCTATTTCTAATTTTCTAAGTGTTTCAGCTCTGCGGAGGTAAGAAAATTATTTATTAAATAAAAAATAGGGCCTCCCCGGTGGCGCAGTGGTTGAGCGCTGGGTTGCGAAGCTGCCCGAAGCCTCTGCAGCGCCAGTTCGATCCCCGGCTACTCCCCGGCCACCGGAGGAGGATCCCACATGGCGCGCAGACCTCTCCTGCCGCCCGCTGCTCCCCTCAGCAGTGTACTTCGGTCCTTCTGCCTGCTCTGCTCCCCGCTCTGGCTCTGGTGAATTCTCTCACCCTCCCGCGCTTCTGACTGTACCCAGTGCATGTATAAATAATAAATAAACCTTAAAATAAATAAATAATAAAAGGATAAAAAAGGTTATTTTCCAAAACCAACCTTTACCTCTTGCCTATTGAATGTTACTGTCAGCTAATGGCTTTGTGTGTTCAGTTTAGCGAGTTTAGGGCCCCCCTGGCTTGGGACAGCACCAGGGTGCAGACTTATTTGGTTCCTTCTCTTCAGGTGCAGTCATGGGAGAAGAGGCCGCAAAGCTCCTTGGCGTGAAGATGTGCAAGTTTATTCCAAAACATGCACGAACCTTGGCAAATGAGTTTCGCTGCTATGTGAATTATGAATCCGGGCTAGATCATGATGTTTAGGTGCAGACAGGAATGTAAGACAGTAGAAGGCCCTTTGTGATGTTCCCCTCTGGTTATTTTCTTGGTAGAATCACACGTTATACTCTCCCCTACCCCAGGACTGGGGCTCTCCTTGGTCCAATTTCCAAAATAAAGAATATCGTTTCTCCTGATGATTTCCGTATTGACAGCTTCTCTAGAGCATCTGCTAACTTGAGTCCATGGAATTATAGGTGGTCGACATCTTAGAACCCCCCCCCCAGCTCTTCTCCTCACAGGCCATGGGTAAGAAGCAGAAATATAAACATGTCAGTGACTTGGCCAAGACTGAACTAGACAAACCTTGAGCTCTCCATCAGGCTGCACGCCCCTTAAAAGGGGCTGCCTCTGATGCAGCCCAGCAGTTGTAGGTCTTGTGATGGGGCTCCTCCTCTGCCCCGGGCCCCTCAAGGAGACACAACTTGCCTTCATGAAGTAAGTTGATAACCCCACGAAGTGCAGTCTGGGGGCCTCCCGGACCTCTTTCAACTCCCCAGTGCTGGAGGCCCCGCAGGAGCATGGCCTAGGTCTGCTGTGCCTACCTCAGCCACAACTCCTCTGCTGAGGGATATGCCATGCTCCCAGCACCCGAGAAAATAAAAGTGCTTTCTGCAAGCCAGATATCACGGCAAAAAATCATGCTAGACTTTATTTTTGTTCAAAAAATACTCTCAGGCTTCCACACCACAGAACACTGCTCAGTAGCTAAATCATTGATCCTGGCAACTTGAATAAGTTTTCAGGGTATCTGCTGAGTAGTCAGTTCCCCAAGGTCACCTGCTGTGCCATTCCCTATCTGTGACGACACCCTGGGATGGAGAACAGATGAGGGGCGGCGAAGTTAGCATGGGGTGGGGTGGGTTTGGCCATAAAAGGGAGAGCTCTGTGCTGCTAGGACGATTGTGTCGTCACCGGCAGGCCGGCAAGCGCAGGGTTGTCCGCATTCCAGGGTGAGACAGACAGGCTGCACCGGCGCCCTGCGTGAGGTCGGCGTGGTGACATCGTGTCATCCTTATTAAGTGAGATGTCACCGCTTGGGGAACAGGGTGAAGGATACAGAAGACTTCGGTAGTGTTTTTGTGATTTCCTGTTTATCTGCAATCACTTCAAAATAAATACTTTAACTCCTTTCTCTGGGAAACCATGTTGCTTCCTACCTCATGGGACTTGCTTGAGCTGACAAGACATGAAAGATCTTTATTCTTGCTCAGACACAGTGACCAGCACTATTCCAGATGGAAGCTGCACTGGCTGCGGGGTCCAAGCAGAGCAGGGCCACAGGGACCCCAGTGGCCAGAGGGCTAGTGGCCCATGGGCCTTTGAGGGGAAGTGAGAGACCCTAGGTTGTCACCACAGCAAACCCCGTCTGTCCTGAGGTCCCCCCAACTGGACAGTGCTCAGGGGTTGTGGGGAATTGCTCATGTCTGTTATTTCATGACCTCGGTTGTCATATTTTAGGAAGAAATTAAAATTAAATTTACTTTCAAAAATCACTTTTTCATGACTCTTTTAAAGCAATGTGCCAATGTTTGTTCTTTAAAAAACATCTCCTGCATGATTATTTATTTATTAATTTATTTACCAAAAATTGTGTAAGCCAGTAATAAATTTTAGTGACATCATATATGGAATGTGTAACTTAGGGATTGTGGCCAAGTAGCAGCCTAGATAAAACAATTTCAGCTGTTTTCTACATCTAGCATTTAGATAGGAAGAGAAATCTTTTTTTAAGTCTCCCTCTATACATTGATTTCATTCTAAAAAAATGGCTAAAACGTTTTCTTTTTTTTTTTAAAGATTTATTTATTTATACTAGAACCCGGATACAGGCCAGATGCGCGGGAGGGTGAGAGGATTCACCAGAGACAGAGCGGGGAACAGAACAGGCAGAAGGACCAAAATACACTGCTGCCCTAGGGAAGCAGCAGGCAAGACAGAAGTCTGTGCGCCATGTGGGACCCTCGCCAACGGCCGGGAATTGAACCGGTGCTGCAGAGGCTGCGGGCAGCTTCACAGCGTGGCGCTCAACCACCTGTGCCAGCAGGGGAGGCCCTAAAACGTTTACTTTATACTGACTCTTCATGTATGAACAGGTGTATCCAGGTGCCAAAAGACCCATTCTTATACCAAAAACCGAGTTGCTCTGGGAAAATGCTTTCTGTCACACTGCAGAGTTCATAATACGTGCATATATGTCAGATGAGTGAGTTTCTTAATAGCAGCATCATGTAATCCTTATAAGAACTTTACATGGCAGGTGTTATGATCATTTTCATTTTATAGGCAGGAAGGAGGCACAGGAGGCGGTGAGCTTGCCCCAGCAACCGCCAAGGCTGCCCGTTGACTTCGGCAGGAGCCCACCCGCCTCTGCTGTGCCTGCGTCTGGGTGCCCGGCAGTGCGGAGCACAGGTCCCCTCCTCTGGGGCGTGAGCGCCTGTTTCCCTGCGAGCTTGCGATGCGGCGCATCTCGGTGTCGCTGTGTGTTTTACAAAAAGCAGGCACAGCCTTCAGATATCCCACCTCTTGCTGTGCTGTTTTATCACAGAGTGGGAGTGCTCCGGTGGGCTCTCCAAAGAACGATTAGAAATGGTGGTAAGAAAGTTATTATAAATCAAATAATGAAAACTCCCGCTGGACTTTATGTCTCTCCTTGACTTGTGGGTGTGTTCAGGGCTGGAAGATGGTGTTAGACACGGGCACAGGGAAGGATGTGCCTGTGCAGCTGCGCTGTGTCCAAGCCATGGGAATGATGGCGATTTTCATTGAAGAACTTCCTGAAAATATTTGACATATCTCCCATCAAAAGGTGGAATCAAAATTCTTCCCTTGAAGATGAGCTAGCTTTAGTGCCTCACATTTTATGAATACAGTGGACCTCAAAGTGACCCTGCCTGAGCTCCTGCCGCCCCCTCCCTTTCATCCCGCCCCTGCCCCACCGCTGTCTCCCTCTTTCTCGTGGAACTCGGTAGCCATGCTATAATGAAAGGCCCACTGTTGCCTTTTTTATTTCTATGTATCACCGACATACAGCATGAGTTTCCTATCTATAATATAGTGATTTTATATTTGTATAGAATGCAAAATGATCATCACAATAAGTCTAATTAACATATTGCCACTGTTACCATTTTTTTCTTGTGGTACAAACACGATCCATCCTCTCAGCAACTTTCAAATAAATGGTACAGTATTATGAGCTGTTGTTACCATGCTATATGCTGCATCCCCATGACTTATTTCATAGTTGGAAATTTATGCTTTTTACACTCCTTCATGCATTTCAACCACATTTTACCCCCATTTCTACCTCTCCTCGACCCACCTCAGGTGCCACAGGGCTTCACGGGTTGGTTTGTTTGCTTTTTCACATTTAAGTAACATCATATAGTATTTGTCTTTTTATTTTTTTTTTAAAGATTATTTACGTGTAGAAGTACTGGGGTATAGGCCAGAGGTAGGGTGGGGGTGGGGGTGAGAGGATTCACCAGAGACACAGTGGGGAGCAGAAGAGGGGGATCTACTGAAATACACTGCTGAGGGGAGACAAGAGAGGTCTGCTGTGCGCTATGTGGGTTAGTAACCTGCCAGGGGATAGAACTCAGGTCGGCAGTGATAGCGCTGAGACTAACCCCTAGGCAACTAGACAGGCCCCTGTTTTTATTTCTTAGTTTTTCTGGTAGATAGTATTTGTCTCTCTCTCCTTGACTTATGCCACTTAGCATAGTGCCTTCAAGGTCCACTCATGTTGTAAAAGGCAAGATTACCGTTTGTATGGCTAGATAATTTTCTGTGTGGGGGGTGTATTTGTGTACCCATTCACCCGAGAGGACGTCATCAACGTGGCGGCAAAGAGACGCTAGGATCAAGTTCTCCCATAAAAACAACTGATAGGGCGAAATAACGGGGAGTTCCTGGCAGGGCCGGAATGTGTTAGACAAGCTGGGCGATGGCAGTGACATAGAGGAAAATTGGAACAACAGGGGAAGGGAAGAGAGAAAATCATCAGGACCCTTCTCCCATGTCCTCAAGCAGAAAACGAGAAAAAACTTGGAGATCATTCACCCGGGGAATTGTGAGACATCTGAGAGCTCCGGGCAATGACAGGTGGGCAAATGGGGCCTCCACACAGGCACACAGTGCACCCGAAGGTGCAAGCCCTTTTGTTGTGGCGCTTCCCTGCCTACTCCCTCCCCCTCCTGGAGACCTGGGGGGAGCCCTGTAACTGGTGGCACCTACCTGGGGGAAAGACATAACAGGAGCCTTGTAGGGCTGGTCCCTACATCCGGGGCCTCTTGGTACCCCAAGCCCTCAGGTAGAAGGAGGCCTCAGGAGCCCCAACACCCACCCAACTACCCCACCGGCCCAGAAAGAGTGCTGACCCACCACACCCACAGCTGCAGTTGAATCTGCGCCCTTTGTGGACCCCCTCCCCCTCTTTTTTTAATCCTCCCTCAACACACTGCAAGGCAGACTGCAGGCCCTGGGAAGACTGTCCTACTCAGCCGGGTGGCCCTCCCCCGCGGACCAGACTGAAACTACAGCAGCTAGTCACTGGGAACCTGAGAGGCAATTTTCCCATCTGTTTGTGTGTATTTGTTGGTCAGCTGGTTGTCTGTTGTTCCTTTGTGTCTTCCCTATTTCTGTTTACTGATTCTTCTATTTTTCTTCTTTCTCCCCTTTAACGTTACCATCTCTACTTTCTCTTCTCTTTCTTACATTCCTCCTCTTCCTCCTCCCCTGTCTTCCCCCATCTGGCCCATTCTTCCTTCTCTCACCTTCATTCCTTCTACATTTCCGTATCATCGTCCTCTTTCCTCTGACCCCTTCTGTCGCTCCTTATTCTCTTTGGATCCCCATATTCTTCTGAGACACACCTAGAGGGACCTAGCAGTTCAACAGAGAAATACATCCCGCCCAGCCTGGAGGCACTTCCCAGAGGACTTGGCCTCAGCGTGCGTCTGGAGGTGCAGTGCTCCACACGAGACCCTTGACTACCACAGGCTGAGGCATCGGATCCCATCCTACACAGTGGGGACCAGAAAAGGAGGGGCTTGTAGTGCAAATCACAGCTCAGAACAACGCCTACCATAATAGACGAGTGTCTGGACGTGTCCCCAGCCACAGCAGCTCAGACACTAGACAGACACATCCATGCATCAGCAAGAGAAATCAGAAGTCATGCCCACCAGCACCAGCAGTACAGGGGGAATACAAGCTGAGCAAAGCCAAAGGGTAACAATGGGAAGAAAGAAAAATACAAATGATCAAGCAGGCCCTTCTGGGAACAATACACCGCAGAAAGAAAATCAACCTCCAAAACCCGACAACACGAGCATGGAAGAATATCCACACCTAACAGATATTCAAAAAGGCCTTAGTGAAAACAATTAAAGAGCTAAGAGAAAACCCAGAAAGAGATAAGAATATAATCAATGAACTGAGGAAGAAAGTGAAAGAACTAGAGGATATCCAGAGATGAGTAGAGGAGCTCAAGAATTCTGGGTAAAGCCATGAAAATGGAATAGAGGAAATGGAAGAATGAATCAGCACTCTTGAAGACACAGGCATAAAAAGAACCGAAAAGGAAAAGGAAAGAGAAGTACAAAGGAGAAAGAATGAAGAAATACTTCAAGAACTATCTGACACCTCAAGGAAAGGAAATATGAGTCACGGGAATCCCACAACATGAGGAGAGAAACAAAGGAACTGAGAAACTATTCGAGGGGAACATCCCAAGCATGAAGAAGGAAATGAAAATAGACAAATTACCACAATGAAAGGAAAGCTATAGCAAAACACATAATAGTAAAATTTCCAAAGATCCAAGACAAGGAAAATGAAACTGATGAAGGGGAAGGAACAGATAACCTATAAAGGAAAACCAATCAGGCTGACATCAGACTTCTGTGAAGAAACACTACTGGCAAGAAGAGAATGGAGTGACATATTTAACAAACTCCAAGTCAACAAATGCTAACCAAGAATACTCTACCACGCAAAGCTCTCCTTCTTCTATGAAAGAAAAATAAGAACCTTCTCAGACAAATAGAATCTCCAGAAATTCATTGTTACTAAACCCCCGCTTCAAAAAATATCACAAGAAACCTTAAAGCCAAAACCAAAGGAGGAATGAATAGGAAGAACAGAATAAGGTAAGGAATACAATCACAAAAAGGCAAACAAAATGGCAAATAGGCCAGTGTATCAATATTAACCCTAAATGTAACTGGACTCAACTCAACAATAAAAAGACACAGAGTAGCAGGCTGGATTAAAAAGCAAAATGCAACCTTTTGCTGTCTACAGGAAACACATTTAAGTACAAAAGACAAACATAGATTGAAAGTAAAAGGATGAGGGCCTCCCCGGTGGCGCAGCGGTTGAGCGCTGGGTTGCGAAGCTAACCGGCCTCTGCAGCGCCAGTTCGATCCCCGGCTGCTCCCCGGCCACTGGAGGAGGGTCCCACATGGCGCGCAGACCTCTCCTGCCGCCCGCTGCTCCCCTCAGCAGTGTACTTCAGTCCTTCTGCCTGCTCTGCTCCCCGCTCTGGCTCTGGTGAATTCTCTCACCCTCCCGCGCTTCTGACTGTACCCAGTGCATGTATAAACAAAACAAACAAACAAACAAACAAATAAATAAATAACATGCCTCTATAAAAAAAAAAAAAAAAAAAGAAAGTAAAAGGATGAAAAACAATCCTACAAGCACATGGAGAAAAAAAAAAGAAGGCAGGAACAGCTATACTTAGATAAAACAAACTTCAAACTATCCTATTTACCCACCCATAGACATTTAGTTTGATTCCATATCTTGGCTCTTGTAAATAATACTCTAATGAACATGTAGGTGCAGATATCTTTTTGAGTTAGTGTTTTGTTTTCTTCAGATAAATACCTAGAAGTGAAATTGCTGGAACATATGGTAGTTCTTTAAAAGATTTTTTTTGAGAAATCTGCATATCGTTTTTCATAGTGACTGTGCCAATTAACATTCCTGTCAACAGTGCCAACACTTGTTATTTTTTGTCTTTTTAATAATTACCATTCTAATAGGCATGAACTAGTGTCTCATTGTGGTTTGGGTTTGCATTTCTCAGATGATTAGTAACACTGAACATTTTTTCTATGTGCCTGTTGGCCATCTGCATGTCTTCTTTGGAAAAATGTCTATTCAGATCTTCCGCCCATTTTCTTTTCTTTTTTTTAAGATTTATTTATTTACACATATAAGAACTGGGGTACAAGCCAGAGGTGTGGGGGGTGAGAGGGTTTACCAGAGCCAGAGTGGGGAACAAAACAGACAGATTTACTGAAATACATTGCCGAGGGGAGCAGTGGATGAGATAGGAGAGGTCTGTTGTGCCATGTGGGTAGCTCTCTGCCCAGGGATCGAACTCATGTCACAGTGGCTGGTGATAGCTTGATAGCACTGAGACTTTAACACCTGAGCGAGGGAGGCCCAACTGCTAAAGATATTTAAAATAATAACAGAATAGGAAGATCTCATGTAGCAAAATAGGCAGAGAAAAAAATACAGCACATGAAAAATACAAGATCAAATGAACATAGCATTGCAAGTTAAGAATAACACTCTAGAATCCAAACACAAAATGATGTAATACTGTATCTCCCTATCAGTGTATTCAGAATTGCTAGAGGTGTGGGGGGTAAGAGGATTCACCAGAGACAGAGTGGGGAACAGAACAGGCAGATTTACTGAAATACACTGCAGAGGGGAGCAGCGGGTGAGACAGGAGAGGTCTGCTGTGCCTGATGTGGGTTAGCACCCTGGCAAGGGATTGAAATCAGGATGTAGCAGGGATAGCATTGAGACTTAACCCCTAGGCCAGCAAGGAGGTCCCCCTTTGTCATAAATTCACTGACTGTATGAACATCAGTTTATTTCTGGATTCTCTGTTGTTTCTGTTCTCTGCTCTGTTGAGCCATGTGTCTTTTTTTACACTAATACCACACTGTTTTGATTATTAGAGCTTTGATGAAATAATTACTGTAAGTTGGAAATCAGAACGTATAATGCTTTTACTTTGTTCTTCTTAAGATAACTTTGGCTACTCAGGGTCTTTTGTGACTCCATACAAATTTTAGGACTGATTGTTCTATGGCTGTGAAAAATACCATTAGAATTTTGATGGGGATTGCATTGACTCTAGCTTGCTTTGGGCCTTTTAGACATTTTAACAGCTTTTTCAGTCCATAAGCACAGAATAGCTTTTGTGTCTTCACTTTATTCATCAGTTTTACTATTTTCAGTTGTACAAGTCCTTTACTCCATGCATTGTATTTACTCCTAGGTATTTCTTTTTTTAACTTAAAACAACAGAAATTTACCCTCTCATAGTTCTGGAGTAAGTTTACAAGTCCAAAATCAGTGTTTACAAGTCCAAAATCAGAATGGGATATTTTATTCTTTTTGGTGTATTGTAAATGCAATTGTTTCCCTAATTTATTTCTCTGCTAGTTCTTATTACTGTAGAAATGCAGATTTTTATGTATTTTGCATCCTGCAACTCTACTGAATTTTTGTATTATTTATAATGGGCTTTTTTTTGTGGAGTCTTTAAGACTTTCTATATAAAATGTCATCTGCAGGGCCTCCCTGGTGGTGTAAGGGGTTAAGACACAACCTATGAAGTGATTCGCAGCTACTGCAGCACAAGTTCGATCCCTGGCCAGGGAGCAACCCACATGGTGCAGCAGAATTCTCCTGACACGCCCCCTGCCCTCTCAGCAGTGTGTTTCAGTCAGTCTGCCTGTTCTGTTCCCCACTCTGTCTCTGGTGAATCCTCTCACTCTCTGCACCTATGGCCTGTACCCCAGCTCTTGTATGCATAAATAAATAAATCTTTAAAAAAATATCATCTGCAAATAGTGACAGTTTACATTTTCCCTTTTTGATTTAGGTGACTTTTCTTTCTATTACCTAATTTTAGCCCTGGTTGGAACTTCAAAAACTGTTCTCAGTAAATGTGGTGAGAGTGGACATCCTTGCAAGGGTAATTCTGGCCTTGTAACATGACATTGGGAGTGTTCCCTTCTCTTCTATTTTCTTGGATGAGTTTGGAAAGGTAGTATTAAAATATTCTTTGAATGCTTTGGTAGAATCACCAGTGAAGCTGTCTGATCCTAGACTTTTGCTGGTTGGGAAGTTCTGATTACTGATGCAATCTTCTTACTAGTAAGGGTCTGTACAGATTGTCTATTTCTTCACGACTCAGTCTCAGTAGGTTGTATGTTGTTAAGAACTTACCCATTTAGAGCCTCCCCTAGTGGTGCAGCAGTTGAGTGCTGGGCTGCATAGCTACCTGCAGCCTCTGCAGCACCAGTTCGATCCCTGGCTGCCGGCAAGGGTCCCACATGGCACGATAGACCTCTCCTGCTGTGCCCACTGCTCTCCTCAGCAGTGTATTTTGTCAGTCTGCCTGTTCTGTTCCCCACTCTGGCTCTGGTGAATTCTCTCACCCTCCCGTGCTTCTGACTGTACCCAGTGCTTGTATAAATAAATCAATCTTAAAAAAAAAAAAAACACCCACTTAAGGGCCTCCCTGGTGGCGCAAGGGGTTAAGTCTCAGCACTATCAAGCTATCACCAGCCACTGCAACATGAGTTTGATCCCCCACCAGGGAGCTAACCCACATATGGCATAGCAGACCTCTCCTGTCTCACCCGCTGCTCCCTTCAGCAGTGTATTTTTTTAAATATTTTATTTTATATAATTCTTACATCATTTTTCATTTTTGCACAATGTATGCATTTTCATTTTGGTTCAGCAGTGTGTTTCAACAGATCTGCCTGTTCTGTTCCCCATTCTATCTCTGGTGAATCCTTTCATCAACCCCTACCCTCTGGCCTACACCCCAATTCTTGTATGTATAAATAAATAAAAATAAATCTTTTAAAAAAAGCAACTTGGGCCTCCCCTGGTGGCGCAGGAGGTTGAGCGCCACGCTGTGAAGCTGTCCACAGCCTCTGCAGTGTCGTTTTAATCCCGCCCGGCGGGCAAGGTTCCCACTTAGCGCAGCACCCTCTCCTGTCTCGCCTGCTGCTCCCCTCAGCAGTGTATTTCGTCAGTCTGCCTGTTCTGTTCCCCACTCTGTCTCTGGTGAATCCTCTCACCCTCCCACACATCTGGCCTGTATTCTGGTTCTTGTATAAATAAATAACTAAATCTTTTTTTTTTTTTTTAAGCAACTTACCCATTTCTTAAAGGTTGTCCGATTTGTTGGAATAGAGAAATCTTATTTCATGAAGGATGAGGGAAGAAAGCTTGACTCATATAAAAATTTTAATTGACTTCATTTTTATTTCATAAGCAGTCAGCATGTTGTTTTATTGCTCTAGACTCCTGACATGATTTCAATTATAGCAAACCTTTTTCATACATGATCCACTTCTAAATTTTAGGATCTGCAACATCCTAAAAGGTGTGCGAGGCCAGGTGTTCTCCTGCCGATTCAGGAGATGGGGTGAGGACACCTGGGTGTGAGGCAAGTCCTCCCTAATTCATATTTGGACTAAGACAAAATAACCATAATATGAGTGGGAAGGGAAAGATAATAATTCACTTTTGCTGACAATTTAAAAATTTCCATACAGTTCAGTTGTTTGGGGAGAGGAAGAGGTGGTGGGGGGCAGTAAGAACAAAACGTCTGGGTGACTTTAAACCCCGCTGCTTACAGAATTTCATATTCTTTCCCAAACACCAGGGCAGGAACTAGTTACTAAACAATCACCCTTTTTACTTTTGCCTTCCTGAAAGAGAATTAGTAAAAGAAGTTTGGGTAATTGGTGCCTGAACATGAAATAGCAGGTATGTGAGAATGTTTTGTGATTGCGTTTCCTTAATGATTCTGGTTGTTTCTTGTTTGTTTAAAGCAAGCATAGAAATACTGTGGTTTGGACAAAATCTTCAACAAGGTACTTCCACCCAATGTGCACTACTACAGTGTTGCTACTCTGCAACGCCTAGGAATTGACAGCCCATGTCAATGAGGCAGCTATGCTAACTGTGTGGAATAATAAGCAAAGTTACTGAGAACAGGGGAAAAATGATGTTGCTGAGCTTTGGCTAGCATAATTTCTCTAGCCAGTAAACTCCCATTTGTTTGATGAAACACAATACCAACCCCTCCCCTCTCCAAAAAATGTTTAGTTTTAATGAGAAAACAAAATCTGGGGGTCTCCCTGGTGGCGCAAGGGGTTAGGACGCAACCTGTGAAGCTGTCCACAGCCCCTGCAGTATGAGTTCGGTCCCCAGTTGGCCAGGGAGCTACCCACATGGTGCAGCAGACCTCTCCTGACTCATCCACTGCGCCCCTCAGCAGTGTACTTTGGTCAATCTGCCTGTTCTGTTCCCTGCTCTGTTTTTGGTGAGTCCTCTTACCCCCCACACTTCAGACCTGTACCCCAGCTCTTGCATGCATAAATAAATCTTTAAAAAAGAAACACAAAATCTGTCACAATAAAGTCCTATTATTCATTGAAAAAGTATCTTCCCATACTAGATTGCCACACTAATGCTGCTGCTTAGTGATAGGTTTCATTTGTCACTTGCCTTTAAATAAAAAAAAGTCACTTTTAAGTGAAATTTGGCGCTAAAGCAATAACCAAATATGAAAAAACAACAGCTTGATAATTATGTAAAATGTAGCTTATTAACACGTAAGACCAGTGTCCTAACCCCTGAGTGATGGAGCCAGCTGCTCCAATGTATTTTAATCCCTATGTTGTGTGGCACAATGCTGGGTGTCTGGTCCTCACAATGACTGTGAGGTGGGTGATGCCATCTCATGTTATAAGTGAGAAAAATGTTGCCCTGATTCACAGAAATATGTCCTCGGTGCAAGGAGGTGCACTGAGAACAGTGAGCTCTGCCTTGACAATGACCGCAGTTTGTAGCTGGCGTGAGGATGGAGACCGTGGCTCACAGAACAGGGCGAGCTCAATCTCATTAAATGGATGAATGTTCCATTCAGAGAAAAAGCACAAATAAAAATTCCCTTTCTAGATGGCAGAGTAGAAAGCTGATTTCTTCCACTGGAAATACGTTTCCTTTTAAAAAACGTAGTTCAATAAGATAATTATTAATTATAATTAATAAGAGAGTAGTATTTTCCCCATGCAAATGGTTTCCTAGCTCTCTGATGTTTGCACTATTTATATTCGAGGAGTGTTTGGAAATGTTACAGTGATAATGATTGAAACAATTACCCAAATCACTAGTTTGAAAGGGCATTTTTGTTTTTAATTTATGGATTTTTTTGTTATTGTTGTTAATTTGAACTGGCAACAAAAAGCTGCTCTGAAGCTTCTCTTTTCTGGACAAAAACAATTCCAGATTTACCACCAGCAGGAATAACATTTTTTTTTCTCATGTATCTGCAGCTATTGCTTTCAATTTTGAATTTTTTATTTGGAAAATTTGAATTTTATTCAGCAATGTGTTTTTACAACTTCCATTGATATTCAGTACAAGTTGAAAGTTCTCTGTGGAGCTTCTGACCAGAGCAAACTGAAACAGAGAAGATACACAGGGAGGCAGAAGCCCACTGCTGCTACGACAGCCGTGTATTTCACTCGGGAGTGACGTAGACATAAAGAAAAGATGCTATTGGGCTTGGTTAGTGTATTCACAAAAGATCTACTTCAACCATAAAATAAAGACAAAGTGAAGACCTGGACATAGTGTTTCCTCTCAACATCAGTCATGTGGACCCTTGAAAAGCAATAATAAACTCTCCCAAAGCTGAGTAGCCGGCGTGTGGCTAGCCCAGGCATGTTCATTGCTCATCAGCTCCAAACTGACTTTTTTTTTTTGGCCTAAAAAAAAAACCAGGGGCTGCAGTGAGACTGACCCACCATGACTGACCCACCATGTATCGCTGATGTGAAGCCCTCTCCAGCTTAGTTGTGTTTGTTTCACTCTTGCATCTTCATGTCTCTCCTCTGAAGTTGCTGAACAGGCCCAGCAAGTCAGGGAGCCTGGAGAAGGAGCAGGGCCCCAGCTTCAGGGCTGGCCTGGCTTGTTGCTGGGGTGCAGTGGGTGCTTAGCACCCTGCTTGTCCATGCTGGAGTTGATGCTGTCTGTGTCCTTCTCTGGCTCCGGGACGCAGGTGCAGCCCACAGGGATGGTGATGTACTCCTCGGTGTACACTGAGCGCCCCCCTGCGCAGGCCGCTGTCCGCCGGAGGATGACTGTGGGCATGTAGACTGGGGTGCTCCGAAAGTGGAAGTCCTCCTCCCCAAAGAGCCCAGTCAGGCAGCCCCTGCACAGGCAGTAGGCCTCTGGCAGGTACTTGGGATACCTGGCTGGGTCGTAGGAGATTCTGCAGGGGAGAGAGAAGGGTTTAGCTTAAGCTTGGGAGCAGCTGGATCTTACCATATGCTGAGAAAAGGCAGCCTTTAAAAGAATTTGTTTCTAGGGCTAGTAGGAATTGAGATCAATGATTAAATGGAGCAAGAATATAGGAGAACCAAATAAGGGATCAGGGAAAAAATAGTAACAATTAAAAAAAATTAACAGGCAACTATAAATCAGAGACATTCTGCAGGGGAGGAGGAAGAGGGATAAAAGCAAGGGAGGGAAGAACACAAGGACCTAAGGTGATGGAGCACAGGTGAGCTGGTGGTGGGAATTCTATGGGGACTACACCTGAGAGGTGAAAGCAAATATTGCACAAAAATGAACAATATGTAAAATATATATAAATAAATATAACTTACATTAAAAATAAATAAATGGAGCAAGAAAAAAGGGCAGCCTTGTCATTCTATCTCACAGTTAGTTTCTATGCAAGACTCCAATCTAAGACAGATAAAACCTGACAACTCTTTTATTTAAATGGTGAGGACTGATTTATAGCTATCCTTAGGCCAGTCTCTAAACATGCTTTTGGAGTTTACATGCACAGAAGAATAAAGTCTATACATGTAGCATCTGCACCACAGGGCCCACTCATCCTACTGGGATATAACAAGACTGATTCCCTGTGGGCCTGGGGCTCACCACCCCAGGTCTGAGGGGGCTTCCCAGAGCAGTGGTCCCTGAGACCCCATAACCACCTCCCTCCAGTCACCAGGCCCTCTGCAGCACCACACGGGGCAATATCCACCAGGGTGGCCTGCCCACATTGGCCCCAAGAACGGGGTCCTCTCTGTCTCAAATCCTCAAGAGACAAAAGAGCCATATGTTATGGACACAGGTCACTGACTAAACCACCTGCAAAGGTAGCTCAGGACACCAGTCCAGAAGGCTTCAAGAGGATCCATCTCCCTCTGTCAGTCAGGTGCACAGGCCTCCTCTCTGATGAGATGAAGATGCACCCATGGAGGGAAGGCCTAGTCAGCCCGGGACGTTTCAGAAGTGAACCATGGTTTAAACTTGGTCATTTTCTCTTACCTTAAAAAATGAAAAATGGGAATACCATATGACCCAGCAACCCTACTCCTGGGCATGTATCCAAAGAGTATGAAACCATCAATACAAAACACTTATGTTCCGCATGGTTCATAGCTAGGACACGGATGCAGCACTGGTCGACAACTGAATCAAGAAGATGTTGCATAGCCACACCCTAGAGTACTACACATCCATAAAAAAGGATGACATGTAGTCATTTTCAACAAGATGGAGGGAGTTTGAGAGAGTTATGTGCATCAAAGTGAGAATGATAAAAACAAATACTGGACATTTCCAGCTGCTGAGATGGCCTCTTTCCCAAACCAGTATCAACTCAGTGAAGACCTGCCATATTTTAAGGTCCAGTTCAAGTTATCCCCTTATGGAGTTTTCAAATTTCCTTTGTCAAATATAATCTCCCCGCACACCACAGTCTGGTGATATTTTGTGCCTCTGGCTGGAACTACATTTTCTCTCTGCCCTCCCTGGAAAGGAAGGGTAAGGACTGTATTTTATTTATCCTCATGCCCTGTGTAGGGTAAATGGTTTGGTAAATGGTTTTCAGGCTTTTCTGTCCTCCCACCATTAGGATTGCCCTGCCTAAGGGCCACCTGCAGTTGTTACATTGTTGCAAACTATCTTGTTTACTTCTGGGTGCACTGGGATAGTCACCAAGAGAGGCAGAAGCAGAAGAGGCAGGAGAGAGAAGGGGAAAAAGCAAGGTAGAAGAAGAGAGAGAGAAGCCCAGAGTGAAGACTTGCTGGGGGCTTGAAGGACCTGCCGGCCTCCTGGCCCCCAGGCACCCCTGCCTGCCATGTACTTGTTTGCCACACTACATGTAAAGCTCAATAAAAGCCTGAGAAAGCCACCGAGGGCTCCAGGACTCCTCCTTTCCCCCATCTGCGTGGATCACAGAAACCTGCTCAGAGCCCATCCTACCCCTACACCCTGCCCTGCCACTGCAGAGCTCTGCACAGACTAAGAGCCACAGACTGTGTAAGTGTGTGTGTAAGTGTGTGTGTGTGTGGGGGGTGATGGTGTGTCCCACCTGTGGTTCTTCCTGCCTCCCTACCCAGGTCAGCAGAAAAGCCAAAATCTGAAGGAAAAGGAAGGTACAGTATCACCAGTCTCGGCGTTCCAGCTCCACGGACACCTGGTCTGGGGAAAGGGGGCAGATTAAACAGCTACCCGCAGAGGGTCACTGTGCAGAGGCAAATGTCCAAACAATTGCTTGGAGTTAACCCAATCATCACAGCAGGGTGCGCCTGCTGGCAAAGATGTTTCCTGGGTGGATTCATCCAGATGGAGAAGGGAGAAAAGACACTGGGAGTCGGTCAAAGCCTGGAGCTGGGGGATGTGTCAGAGCTAGACCCAGGCAGGCTGCAAGCTGGGGCTGGAGTGATTCAGGGAGGCTGGACCACCAGGGCTCTTGAATTCAGGCTGAGTGGATTTTCACCCTGAAGACAGTAAGATTTCACCCTGAAGACATTATAAAGGGAAGTTGGGATTTTATCTCCTTCAGGCTAAAGAGTAAAAGAGAGTATGGAAGCCAAGAGTGCACCCACCACCTTCACTGAATGTGGAGACTGTTCAATGATTAGCTTAAAGGTGGTAGTTAAAGAGGCTCCATCAGGGGAGTGTATAAGGGACACCGAATAAAAGGCAGGAAAACCACCTGTTAAGGGAGAATGAGCCTAACCTGTCAGAAGCAGGAGCGGCCTCCTTGCAGACAAGAGGGGAGAGTCTGAGAAAGGGGTGGTTACAACCACCCACTGCCAGCGTATCGGCACCTCAGGGCGGGGAGCACTTAAGTGGCACCGAGCAAGAGCCAACCATGTGTGTATGTAGGAAACTCAGCAGAAACTTCATACAAAGGGGGCGATGAGGGAGGGCCTCACTACAGACGTGAGGTCTCGGCACCTGGCGCGTCCTGGTTGCGAGCATTTGTGGAGTACATGCTGACATCTGGGCAATCTGGGAAAAGAGTGCTCAGGACAGGAGTTGTCACAACATTTTGTTAGTTTGAAGTTGTTTCCAAACGAAGAGTGAAATAATCAAATGGGAAAAAATACAATTTTTAAAAGCAAATCAGGGAAACTTGAACTTAACTGAATATCTGAAGATATGAAGGAAGTATTAGCCTCTAGGTGGGTTAGTGGCATCACTTGGTGCGGCCTAACAGAGTCTGTACTGAGCAGAGATCCACAGGGACAGCACTGAGGACCAGTGGGGTCACAAAGTACCTCCTGGGCTTGCCAAGGAGTAGGGCGGTGGTCCTCATCAACTCAGGCACTGATGAAGCTCTTGAGAAGGGCAAACCGTGCAGGTGTGACCCTCTCCAAAGCACAAGCAGAGGACAAACCAAAGCAAAGCACAGTGGGTAAGTCACTGGAGGTGAGGTCAGAGGATGAGGAAGAAAGTGAGGGTACAGGTAGTTAGTTAGGAACAGGGAACCCCAAGCCCTAGCCCACGTGACCCAAGATTGTTTATGGTCTGAGAAACAATCAAGGGACCAGTAGGGTCCCCTCAACCCAACTAAAAATGGAACATTCAGAACGCTAAAACAACACAATGCTAAAACAGCAGGCCAAAGCTCGTTCCAGAAGGCAGGCCAGGTAACGTGGGGAAACTCAGGGGGGCCACAGAGCTCAGGAGACTCCATCCCCAGGTCCAGCCAATCAGCAACAGACACAATGCAGAGACACCCAATGGCCGAACCCCACATCTTGCCCACGTACTCATATAAACTGTTTTTTGGCCCCTCAGCGGCTCCCACTCTGGACCCCTCTGCTCAGAGGGCTTTCCTGTCCTTCCTATCTATCAATAAATCTCTTGCCTTTTTAAAAAATCTGTAATTGGCCTCAAAGTTGAATTCTTTCTTCACCCAAGACAACAACTGCGAGTCTCTGGACCTTGAGGCCCCAATTCACTGCAAGACGAATTAGGCCAAGCGGAAGGGGAGGGGAGGGAGCAACAGGAAGTAGCGCCGCCGCCCAGGCATAAAAGCAGAGTCCACACAGAAGGACGTGCCCAGAGGGCCTGGAGTACGTGTGCTGGCAAGGTAGAGATGTAGTGACACGCAGGAGAAGTGGGAACAGGCCGTGAAGTGCAGCTGAACAGCTGGAGCTGACCCTGCAGATCCTGGGGGCCAGTGGGATCTGCACATGGCAGACACAGCAAGGCTGAGGTCAGAGAGACCGGCCATTGGGGGACAAGTTATGGGGGCAGGAAGGCAGGCCCAGGCTCATTTTCCAGGTCTGTGCTCTGTCACTGACCCGAGGGCATCAGAGATCCCTTCAGCTGGCAACAACTATACTTTCTCCCGCCAAGCAGCAGGGCGGCAGGCACGGGTCTCACACACAGGTCACTGTGGGGAGGACACTTGGCTGCTGCCCTGTCTAGATGGATCGTCCTATTGACAATACCAATCACAGGTCCAGCGGTGGGCTCCTGGGACTGAAATTTTCCCTGTCACAGTGATACCGCTGGGCTCAGGCTCTGTGACAAGGAGACTCCATGACCCCCGCACCAGGGGACATAAGAAGGCACAGGACCGGTGGCTTTCACAGGGTGGCTTTCACAGCCCCCCAGGCTGTGAGGATCATACCTGTGGCCACTGCAGGAGCAGAAAGCACAAGACAGATATTGTGCAGGACACAAGTTGGGGGATGGAAAAGAGGTCAGGAGCTAAGGTCTGGAGGCCTCAGCACAGCCAGGAGACAGACACATTGCTGAAGCCCATTGCTCCAGTCTCCTGCTTTAGGATTCTGGGACAAATGTGAGTGAGGAGTGCTTCTTGGTTGAAACAAGCTGCCATGGAAACCACAGGCAAGAAATCAACAGGGACCTTTCTCTCACCAAACAGAGAAATATGATCAAGTAAGGGTCTAACATGGCTGCCTTGCCTCTGTGAGCAAAAAGTCTTTT